CTCTTCCTGCCTTGCACATGTGTTCTCTACCCAGAAAGCTCTTTTCCCTTCCCCATTGCCTACACAGCTCACCATCAGGCAAACACCAAATCATCTTTAAAATTTCAGCTCAAATACTAAAATAGCTCAGAAACTTTCCCTGAAATCCCCAGGCACACCATTTCCCATGTTCCCACAGCACTTGGACAAATCTCCATTTGAACAATCATCTCAGGATATTCTTCCTGCAAGTCTACTCCTCCTCTCTCCATCTAGACTCTGGTGGAGAAGACTACTGGTGGACAAGGTCTGTCACTGCAGTGTCATAAGGCCTAGCATCTAGAGAGCGCCAGGTCAGGCAGTACAGTATTTGTGGAAGGCATGAGTGAACAAACAAAGGAGACAATCACCCATAAAACACAGCAGACTGTGATCAGTGCCAGGAGAAACATAAATGCAAATGGGAGCACAGGGAAGGAAGAGGCTCTGGAGAAGCTTCCTGAAGGAGCGTTTATCAGCTGGGCCTTGAGAGAGCAAGTAGGCCTCCTGCTCACTCTAGCCCCTTGACTAGGTATATTTTCAAAGACACAGACGTAGGAAGACACAAAGTATGTATAGGGAATGGCCAAGAAGCCCACATAGTAAGTGAAGGGTGAGAGAAGTGGGGTAGGAGCTAGCTAGAGAGGCAAAATGGATGCAGATCTACAAAGACCAGTGGTTCTCAATCTTGGCTATAGGCTGGATACTTTAAAAAAAAAAACTAGGGTACTTTAAAAAAAAACAAACCCGATACCTGGGTCCCACCTCGAAGTTCAGATGTAATTGGTCTGGGGTGTGGCCTGGGCATCTGGATTTTTTAAAACTCCCCAGATGATAATAACGTGCAGCCAAGACTGAGATCAACTGTATAAAGCTACGGAATAAAAAGCTAAGACCTTCCACTCTTGATCTCAATAGTCCAATCTCTATCCAGCAGCCAGGGTGACCTTTTCACATCAGATATATCATTCCCTTACTTACAACAGCACTCTGACTGAAAAACAGGCTCCTAATCATGACAGATCACCATCTGGTCTTCAGGCCACTCCCCCTTCATTAACTGCGGTAGGCTGAATAATGCCTTCTCTCACTCTTGCCAAAGAAGTCCAGGTTCCAAGCCCTGGGAACCGTGAATATGTAAATTTACTTGGCAAAAAGAATTGTGCCGAAGTGATTAAATCAAGGATCCTGAGATGGGGAGACTATTCTGGATTATCCACGTGGCCCCAATGATGTAATCACAACAGTCCTTATAAGACGAACACAGGAGGGTCAGATCAGAGAAGGTGATGAGACAATGAAAGTAGGAATCAGAGAGAGAGAAATTAGAAGATGTTATGCTGCTGGCTTTGAAGATGAAGGCAGGTACTATGAACCAGGAATCCAGGCAGCCTTTGGAAGCTAGAAAAGGCAAGGACATAGATTCTCCCCTAGGGCCTCCAGAAGGTACACAGCTCAGCCAACACCTTGATTTTAGCCCCTTAAGACTCATTTTGTACTTCTGACCACCAGCACTTTTAGATAATAAATTTGTATTAAGCCACTAAATTTATCATAATTTGCTACAACAGCAATAGGAAACCTATACAGTAGCTAAGCCCCTGACAGACTGGCCTTCTTTTTAGTTCCTTAAATATGTCAAACTTGCGCCCCACTGCATCCTTCTGCACTTGTGGCTCATTCTATCTAGAACACTCTTTTCTCTTACCCTGCTCTTTGCCAGACCGGCTTCTTCTCATTCATTAATACTGAGTGCCTACTATGTGCCAGGTGCTGTTTTAAGTGCTACAGCCAGAAACAAGAAAAAAGACAAACAGCTCTGCACTCTTGGAGTTGCACTTACTAAAACGGAGAAGACTGTGGGCAAAAGAGATTTTGGGGTGAAATCAGGAGTTTGGCTTTAGACATACAAGTTCAAGATGCTAGTATTCAGAACTTTAAAAAAAAATGTGAGTGGGGGGAACCATTAGAGTGTTCTGAGCATAGGACTGACACATTCTGACTCATGTGTTAAAAGGAAAATTCTGGCGAATGTATTAAGAATCTGGGGGAAAGGGAGAAAGACAAAGGCACAAAGCTGGGAGACTGGTCAGGAGGCTAATGCAATAAAGGAGCCAAGAAATAACGGCTTGGTCTAAGGTGGATGCAGTGGAGGTGGTGAAAAGTAGCCAGATTCCAAACACATCTTAAGGTAGAACTGACAGGATTTGCTGACGGGTTGAGTGTGGGGGTAAGAGAAAAGGAGTCAAGGAAGATTCCAAAGTTTCTGTCCTGAGCAGCTAAAAGCATGAAGATGTCAAAGACAGACCCGAGGCACTCCAATATTTAGAGGGCAGGAAATTGAGACGGAATAAGCAGTGGGGGCTAAAAGAAGTGCTAAGGAGTCAGAGCCGAACCAGGAGAGGGCGCTGTCCTGGAAGCCAAGTGAGGACAGTGTTTCCAGGAGGAGGATCCGATCAACTGTGTCAAATGCTGCTCACAAGCAAGATGATAACCAAAAAGTGGCCACTGTATTTCTAACAAGTCATCAGTGACCTCAATATCAGCAGTTTCAGCATGGCAGGGGGAAGGAGGGAGACAGCCCGACTAGAACGGATACAGGTAGAAGAATTAAGAGACAAGCATAGACAAGCCTTTTAAGGAGCAAAGAATGGCATGATAGCTGAAAGGGCATGTGGAACGGAGTTTTTATTTAAGACAGGAGAAATTAAAGCACGCTGATATGCTGATGTGAACAACCTTTTAAAGAGAAAAATACACAGTGATGCAGAAGAGAGCAGGGAGAACTGCTGGACCAATGCCTTCCAGCAGGCAAGAGGGGATGGAAACCAGAGCGCAAGCAGAGGGCACAGCGTTAGAATGGGGCACAGACCGTCCGTCACAGTCAAAGAAAGGCAGAGCATACGGGAGACGACGGGCAAAGACGCAGCCGGGAGGGGGTGTGGAAATCCTCTTCTGGTGGCTTCCATTTTCTCAGTGAAACCAGAAGCAAGGAAGAGACGCTGAAGGTTTGAGAAGGGACTTCGCAGCGGCCTGGGAGGGGAGAGCGAGGGGACTGTGGCAATGCACGGACGACCGCCGCGCCGCAGCAGGCTCGCCTGAGGCTCACGGCCGCGCCTTCGAGCGGGACGTCAGCATGCGGGGCGTCCTTCTCCAGCCTGGGTGCGGGTCCCGAGGGCCGAACTGAACCATCCCCGGGTTTCCCGCTCCACGCATCTCAGAGCGGTCTTTTCTGACCATAAACCCTCAGCCTGTCCTGCTCTGAGCTACCCGCTATCTGGAAACGTCTTTAGTGATGTAACTCAGTCTCCCCGCCCGACCCCTCGACGAGCCCCCAGCTCCGTCCGGCTCAGCCGGCAGTCCAGGCAGGACACCTGTCTGGAGCGCTCACAGTGATCCCTCCATGAGAAAAAGCACCCACGACGATCTAAGCGCAAGGGCACTACAAACTAACAAGTCCGTGTAAATAGGAAGAGATTACTCTTCTCACGAATCCCGGGTCGTAAACTTGTGGACTGCCACTAACTCTAAGAGCGCAGATGTGACCATCGAAGCGGACCAGCCGTGACCCACCATCACTGTCTGACCCGGAACTGGAGCGCAAGGCCCCGGCGGCGTCTCCGATCAGCGCCCCAGGACTCAGGCTGCCCCCCGGCCTCGCCCGCCCGCCCGCGAGAGGCTGAGGGAGGCGACCGCCCGCCACTCCACACACCACGGCGTCTCCGCAGCCGCGCACGGCAGCCACCCAGCGCCCGCGCCGCTGACGACGCGCTCCTCACACCCCTGCTCCGCGCCGCCCGGACAACTGCCCGCGGCCCTCCGCCCCCACCCCGCTCCTCCTCGGGCTCGCGCGGCGGGCTGGGGCTCCAACACAACGACCCCCAGACGCTGAACTCGTGCCCTCGGACCGTGCAGACCGCACCAGCAGCCCCCGCCCCCCTCTCACCTGCTGCAACATGGCGGCCCTGCGCCGGCCCCACTTCCGGAGCCACGTCGGCTCGGCAGCGCCGGGCGGGGACTGGAACTGCCGCGGCACGGTTACCACAAGCCCGGAGGAGCCAACGTTCAAGCCGCACCCCGGCCCCACTTCCGCTTCCAGACCCTCGGGGGAGGAGCAACTGCAGGGACAGGGCGAGCTGTGGGCGGGGCGAGAAATAGGGACCGGGCGGGGGCGCGAGACTCGGGGCGGGGCGAGAAGTGCAGACCGGGCGGGGGCGAGGGCGGGGCGAGAGAGTGGGCGGGACGACCCGGGAGCTCCCGGGCGAGGAGCGCGGACTCGGGGCGCGCGGGGAGCGGGAGGTCCGGTCCAAGGAGAAGGGAAAAAACGAGCTGGGAATGGAAGTGTGTGCAGCAGTTGGCTTTAGGGAGAAACCTTCGTGGTTTGTCACGTGAAGATGTTGCTGTCTATGAGGTGTCATTCCCGTCATGTCCTGAGGGCGGGGAGGGGTCTTTATTGTTGCATAGTTTCATGTTGTTCGAATGTTCTACAAAGACATGTATTCCTGTACAGTATTACACTTTTGTACCTTAAATTTTAGAAGCAATTGAAAAAAATGCACTCCTGCGAAAGGGTAAAAAGTTACTAAGAATAACAAGGCAGGAGGACTCTACAGTAAACAATGGAGGGTTTTATTATGGGAGGAAAATAGACGCCAGGAAAACAGAAACAGGAGGGTTCGGAGCGCGGACCCTGGAGTTTGAGCGCCTGGGTTTGAGATCCGCTCTTCCGGTTACAATTTTCTGACTAACCTCTGTGTACGTCTTTCCTCAATCGTAAGGTGGGGATGATAGTGGTATCCGTGCAGGGTATCTCGTAAATAGGAGATGTTATTCTTATACTGTTTGAAGTTTAGCTGCTAATAGTGTGATCTTGCCCGGAATGAAGGACCTGCAATTCAGGGGCTTTATGTCATGTTTGAAACTGTGATTATAACAATATCCTCCAACCGACATCAAACTGCTGTTGCCCAGATAGGGCTGTTGGAAGATTCATGAAATAATATGTATTAGCACATTTCTTTGAGGGAATTCTTTCCATTAAAATCACAATTTTTACAAGGTTATTTGCTAGTGCTACTTTAAACCTAATATCCTAATAATGGGGAAAAACTTCTCAAAGGAGAGAAAGCTTGGCAAACAATTCTATTTCTGCACTTGGAGGTGAAAAGCAGAGGCTGTGAACAGGTGGCCTGTGCATCTAGTCTGCCCATGCCATGTTTTTCGTGGCCCACCCAGTGTGTACGTTGTGGGGTTTGTTTTTTTGTTGTTTTTGTTTTGCATTCTATTTGAATTCATTACCATCCTATGGCCGTGCTGAGCGACTGAGTAGGATCTCTTCTGTTTGGATGGGGCTTGAGCCCCCCAGTGGGCCATAGCTCCCATGGTGGGCTGCACTCTTCTAAATTACATGCCTGGTCGCTGACACCAGCCTCAGAAGGTTTAAGTGGAAACCTCAACACACTCAGTATTAGTGGCCTTCTTTGTAGAAAGGATGAATATGATTCTCTTCCATAGAAGTTAGCCCTGAGAAGGAAAAGCACACATAACGTTCTCAAATGCAGTAGGTCTACCCCATTGAGGGCTTCTCCCTTTAGGTTCGTAATTGAACTCACTGAGCCTCATCAGGCTTCCATGTGACAATACCAGGGACCTTCAATGCATTCATTATTCTGATATAATCCCGTCAGTTCATCTGCTAAGAAGAAATGATGGCACTGAATTGGTAATGGTGAGTGGTATTTAATTTCCGGTGATCACTTTCCCATCCCCCATCAACGAAACTGGGCTTCCATATGCCTCATTGAATGGTTTTCAGTGGGAATACAGATGCCAATCTCTCCCAGCCTCCCTCTGTTTTCTTACTGTGATAAATATCGATTCTTTGGCTTATAGGAAGATAATTATGAGTCCTCACATTAAGTGCCTGGGGACAGTCAAAAATCAAAACCAAAAAAAAACAGAGGCCAAACACCAACATCCACTTGGTATTCTGTTTATCGTAAGACATTGTAATTTCCTAAGGCTGGTTCAGATAAATACGTTTTGTCCAAGTTCAGGGGCTGCTATTTTCCCTTGCTTCATGAAATTATCTATAGGCAGGCCTTTGATCTTCCTGATCCATGCAGCCTTGCTGGCTTTTTCTAGATTGACCACTCCAGTGGGCTTTCCGACCTGATACTCCTTCATCTTGGCTTCCCTGTGCTCTTTCTCCTCCCTCGCAGTCAACAACTTGAACTCAGTGTTCACTTTAAAGGGATTGAGGGTTGTGTGGAAGCAAAGCCGTTCTTTCTTGACAGGCTGAGTTGTCACGCCCACTGGCGAAGCCAGCACGTGGTTTGGTTTAATGACGTGCATACTAGTTAAGGGGCCAAAGCTGCGCGCTGTCCCATCAATTGAACTGGTCCCTTGGTCTTCACCCTTCAGGGTGCCAGAGAATCTGGAACGGATAATCGTGGGCTGGGGTATGGTGGACTGGACTCTGGGACTGTGCAAAGATTTCTTCAAATTGGGCTGCAGTTTCTGGATTTCAAGGGGAACATTAGTTCGTTTCACATCTATGGGAGGATTGCTGCATCTCAACCGATCAACTGCATGTTGGACTGATTTTCCTTTGAAACTCAGGACCTTCCTTGGGTGTGAAGTTGCAGGCCCCCAGGCATCCGTGACTGGGGTTTGGGGCCTGCGGGGATAGGCAAACTCCGCTGAATTATGGGCTTGCTGCAGGGCGTTAACGGTCAGGAGGAACAAGTCAGGCGACATAGGGATCTGCCAGGACATTTTCTTTGGGCAATTGGTCAAGTCTCCAGGAGTTTTCAGTTGTCCTCGTTTTTGTACTTCCTCCACATCATCTGGTTTTTCAAAAAGAGAAAACAAAAATGAATCAGTGTCCGGTGAAAATCATTAAGTACTTATGCATGAAAGTTAAATCCACTCTAACTGCTATGCAAACTAAGGTCTTTGTTTCACAGTGGGCATGGCACCATCATGTGAGTAAAAATCCTCTATGAGACCAGAAATTATGACATAGTTAACACAGCAAGTTTTTAACAAACATGATAGTACTTGTGTTTAAGTGTGTATTATCATTAACCTCTAGTTATGCATATTTTGGAAGAACATGTGTAATCCCTCTGCTCCACATGTTTTTGAAACTTCCCTGGGGGAGTGACCTTCACACCTCATTTATGATTCACACAAAATAGGCCTTATACATTTATACAATAATCGTATCACAAAGTTTGATCTCTACCTTATTAATCAAATTTGACTCCAAATGATCTTTGGATGTTTCCCAAAATCAAAACTGCTCTCAAAAAATATGTCACCCCTGGGAAATGGAAAATGGCACATGACCAAAAGGCAGTTCCTGAGCAGGAGTTCCCAAATGTTTGCAACATAGCAGCAGGTCCAAAAGCCACTGAGAAGGACCAGAGATTCATTCTGGCATACTACAGTATGGTCAAGACCTCCCAGGTGGTTAGCAACCTTGAGTTAACAAGGATGTCTTCATAGGCAAGCAAATCTATTATATCTCCCTCATCTGGGCTTTTCAATCCCTACAACACCTCACAGATACACTGAAACCATTATCCCCATTTTACAAAAAGAATAACTGAGTCATGAAAAGTAGAAGTCGTTTGTCTAGTCTGACCTAGTAAAAGTAAAAGTATGCACCCCAAACTACACTAATCTATAACCAGCAAAGAAAATGCAATGGTGGGTTAAGGATAAATTTTCTTTGACCAAATAGGTTTTATCCCAAGATATCTGTATATAGGCATACTAGGATGGAATGAAACTCCAAATTTCTGCCTGACCTTTACTTTGTTAATTAAAGAATGTTTGATTAAAGCATATAAAACTGAATGAAATTAAGATTTAAAAATCTTCCCCACTCTCCTTCCAATCCCAGAATAAACCACTCTACACATATGTGTGTGTGTAGGACAAAACAGTTTTTCTCCTTTTGTAGAAAGGAATTGTGATGAGCTCATTGTTCATTAACTTGTCTTTTTTCGTATAATAATATATTGTGGATCTCTTTCCAAGTTAATATATGTGGATCCTCATCATACAATTTTTAGCTGTTGTATAATATTACATAGTATAGGTTTTTCATTATCTACTTAGTCATTGCCCACTGATGGCCATTCAGTTTATTAGTGATCAACCTTGAAGAAATGCAAATACCATTTTTACTTATCATATGAGCAAGTGCAAAATGATGGCTAACACCCAGTGTTGGCGCTGGTGCAGTGGGAGCCCTCACGTATTGTTGGCGGGAGTGTAACTTGATAAATCATTTTTTAAGGACAACCATGCAACATCTTTCTAGTTTTTAAATAGTTATCCTTTGGCTCAGCAACACTAGTCCTAGGACTTGACCCTGCAGGTATGCCTATATGGGTACACAGACATAGATATATACAAGGATGCCCACTGTTAGGATAGCCCTCACAAAACTTAGTTGCTTTACCCTCACCTTGAAGCTGGTCTCTGCAGGCAGTTTAATTCATAAAAACACTATTTTATTAGCCAAAAATATTTGAAAGGCATTAGAGTATCTCAAAAACCACAAAGGGACATCTCATTCGTGATGTCCAGTAACTCTTCTTAAAAGCCCCTCCCCCTGTCTCTCCCTGATCTCCTTATTTCCCATGCTTAGCACCTGCTCCCAAATCTACCTTCTCCCTCATGAAATCCCCTACACCGCCCTCTGAGACCAGCTCCGATAGCCTCTTCTCTCTTTTGCTGTGCCCGTTACCCAGGCTGATGACACAACAGTCCAAGAAGTGAGGAGGCTGAATGGCAGGGAAGGGAGGCAGGCTGTGAGCCCAAAACTGGACACTCAGCTCTGAGAAAGGTTCTTGCTCTGTGGCCTCAAGTTAGCAAGGGGACAATTAAGGAAAACCAATCACTCTTAGGAGAAGCTGCGCATTTTATCCATTCTGAATTCTCAAAGATAAGCAAAGTTATTGACTTTCTGAAAAACTAAACTGAGCAAAGAGAGAGATGGGAGGAGGGGGGTTGGATCTTGCCACTGACTCAGAATAAAGTATCACCGTTCATCTTACCTCCTGTGAGAGATTTTTCTTCCAAAGTCTCTTGCCCACTATCCATGCCATGTGCTTCCTTAGAAACAGGACTTGTTCTCTTCTTGCCCTCTCTTCTAGCTAGTTTTGGCTTTCCTTGACTTTGAGATGCCTCTGTTAACACTGCTGAATTAAGATTGAGGAGGAAACTGTAGTAATTATATAATTCAATTAGGTCTGCATAACAGGGGCATAACTGATAATTCAACCGATTTTCATGCAAACCATCACTTTATTGTTTGTTGTTGTGTGAAACTAGGTAGTCACCTGGAACCTAAGGTCCAGATCACTTCCTGACTCCTTCCCACTCACCTTTCCTACTGATTGTCAAGCTTTTACGCATTATCTAAAACTACGGTCCTCTCTCCTCAAGAGATAGCTGACCATTTGTAGTGTAACACACTTGGAGGTGATCCGTTGATGTTCTCTATAGATCTGTGGATCCAATTTCACATGCCAAATACAGAGCAAGTAAAAGCAAGGAGTCTGACTACTCTAGCCCACACATAATTTATTCTTTGTGTGTCGTAAATGGCATGAGCCATGCTACACACCCCCATCTACATGCACACACACACACACACGTATGTACCTGCTTTATAACTAATATTTTCCAGGTACACACATTATCAATCAGTGGTCTAGAGAGAATACATTCTGCATAGAACATTTTTACACAGTGTAATAAGATCTTGTCTCTGTCCTAAGGAAATAATTATGTACTTATATGTTTGGATTGGGGGTATGGGAGAAGGGTGTTGGTTGCTTGTTTTTTGTTTTAATGGCAAGTATTAAGGGCTAGTGTTATCTACTGTACAGAGATTCTGATACGTTTGAAAACTTAGGCCTTGAAAATCAGGAGATTCCCTTGAGCTGGCTAACAACTTGGTGAATTGAAAAGAATGGCTCCCCCCTTCTTTAAAAGTTGGGATTTATGTCATCAAGAAACCATTGGCCAAAATATCCCTCAAGGAAACTAGTCCTGGCACCCCCTCCCCTGCTCCGCTGGGTACCCCTGAGACTGCCTGGGATTCAGCTCTCCTACCTGTAGGGAACCTGGCTGCCCTCAGGAGAACGCGGGACCTGTGAGGTTTACTCATCGGGGACTCCTGGGCCACGATGTGTTTACTGGGCACGGAGTCCCTCCAGCCGTAAACCTGAGCGTTAGACCTGGAGAGGACGCCTGTGAGGCCACATTCTTCCCTGTCCTCCTCTTTATTCTTGGTCTTCTTTTGTTTGGCCTGTTCCAGGGAGTACTGCCACTTTATATTCTCAAACTGGAACAGGAGAACATTGCTCTCCATGTTGATCACCATCCTGCAACCGAAACAAGATTGCCCACAAGAGGAGCGCGGAGGCCATCACCACCCGCCTCCAAACATGCATTTCAACCACTGCCCTGTCCAATCCTGAGGCCAAGGGAACAGTGCCCGGGAAACGACTGTACAAACAAGGCAGCATAGGTTGTTGGAGGGTCTAGAGCAGCGAAAGGTGGCAGGCCATGCAGCAGGGGTCATCAGCTCTGTAGCTCTTTTCTATAAAAATTACATGTGAGCAGAGCACAAATGTTCTGATTACTTAGCTTCTCAGGTTAAAACATTTGTAAATGAATTTCCATTCCTGGAGTGCGTGCCAAGTACCTAGGGTGCCCAAGGCAGAAGGCTTAGGTACTCTGCACGTACATGTCTTGAAATTCCCTCTTTTTCTAAAGCACAGCATCCAAAGCCATGTTTCTGTTGCTGAGAGGGGGATGAGGAAAACTCTTTAATGAGGAGGACTTCCCTCCCTCGCTGACCGTCCTAGCTCCACCATTCCAGGGTCTCTGTGCATGCTCGACATTTAGACAGAACATTTGTACTTTATAAAGCAGGAGATTTCCATCTTCCCTCATCCCCACTTTAATGCCCTAGTAGAAAAAGAGTTCTGAACCTGGGGCCCCCCAACACTACCTCCCACTCATTGGTTTCTGTCATTCACAGTGTTCACAGAGCACGCTGCTTTCCCCCTCTGCTCCTAGATCTCCTATAACCATAGACAAGACATGGAAATACTATGCGTAGGTTCTTTTCTGCTCCAAAAGGCTGCAATTTTAAGGCCTTCACCGTCAGCGTGAACTCTGTAAAAAGGACTTGTTTTGGTTGAAAACACTGCAATGGAATTTGGGGAATCATTCCAATTAGAAATCTCTTTCAGGTTTATTTTTACTCAAGCCAAAAGGAAATCGTCTCTCTTTGGATGTCACGAATGAGAAAAGGTCAAAGGTGATTTTCTTTTTTACAGCAGTATTATTTAGTAACTGTAAAGTGTTAGTTTATTGAGACTTATTACCTACCTTCCCCCTTTAAGATGGTAAACAGTATTAAAGTTTCATTAAAAGGAAGACAATATCGTTCAGGGAGATTAACTGATGTCTCAAGGGAGCCTGTGGTCGAATTTAAAAGTTAATTCTATTTGGGTAATTTTACATACTGTGTCACCCTGAACCTAGCATATAACAAACACGGTACTATATACAATTAGTTTGGTCATGGTTCTGGCTTCTCTAAATGCACCTGCTCGGTGCTGTCCCACTGGACACTGGACCCCCTGCTGCTGCCATCCCCCACCCTCCTGTGAGTCTCTTTGCCTCAGAAGTGGGGCACCAGAGACAGCTGCTGGAGCTCTCACACAACAGCGTGTATGATCAGGGAGCAAGCGGGGACTGCACATTTGCAGAGCTGTAGTCCTGGCAGCAGAGCCAAATTGCACCCGTTGCATGATTTTCCCAGACGTCCAAAACAAGTGAGTAATGTGATGCCTGATTGCTAAGGTTTGTGCAAAGTCCAGTTAGCCCCCCTAAGACTATTACTCCACTATAGCCAAAATGGGAGAGCACTGTCTACTCTCTCCTACTGCCAGCAAATCCAGGGCTGGTGTCTCAGAGGAGAAAAAAATCATCCAAGCAGAATTGCTCACAGCTCTGACCTCCACACCTACCGCGCACCTGTTGCCCTTAATAAAGAAGGACAGCACAGGATCACCTCTGCCATTGGCCTTCATCACCTTCAGACAGGTCCCATTTAGGAAATTGTAAATGCGGATCTTGCCATCTGCACAGGCACTGATGACCCGGAGGAAGAGAAGGGCCACGTGGAGCACCTCCCTGGAAGGGAACAGAGCAATAGGCAGTACCCAACTTCTAGTAAACTGCTTGGGTTTGTTTGTAGTTTGAGATATTTTGTGTATGGTTGGGAGGCAGTGGTCACAACTGTCCTTGAAGTGATGTTTGCTATCATCTTATAATTCTGGATGTAAACCATTAACCCTCAAGATATGGCTGTACTCTCTCCTCCCATTCTCCAGTTATTTTTCCTGCAACTTGGTCACAGTGCCACCAGGTGGCAAAACACAAAGGCTTATGTCACAGATATTTTTTTGATCTGATATATAGATGATCATGCTCTTCTCTTACAATTTGATTCCTAGCTACTGATTTCTACAAAACTCATGCTGAGATTTATTTAATGTTTTGATTCCTTTCCAAATAGTATTATTATATAAAGAAAGAAAAAAAAACAGAAGGGGAAGGAATAAAAAAAACAGAAGGGAAAATTATCATCTTCATATGAAGCAAAAACCTGGTATTTGAGCAGTTTCTTTTAGATCTTAAATTAGTGGCTTTCATTCTTTCAGTGAAATATCCTGAAGGAAATTGTACCCAAGGATGAGATTTTTGAGTTCCCCTTCATGATGACCAACAGGAAAAGAGAGGGGATCAGGAGAAGACTCAGATAGATGCCCCCAACAAAATCCTTTCTACAATTGCTGGGTCCAAGTTGGACTCCAGATATGTGGAGTATTTGATTCTGAGAAGTGTAATGACTTCATTCTCATTAATGATACTGAAAAGTTGATTTGATGCCACCAATTTGTTAGATCTTATCTGCAAAGCAAGTCTGTTGATCCTTGCCATCTCTGCCCATCCAAGTCCATTCATGGCCTAGCTCATATGCTACCTTCTCCATAAAACCATCCCTGATCTCCACCTCCCCTCCCCCCACACACATGTACGCAAACTCCAGGTCTACTGTCAGATTCTCTTGGATACAACCCATGTCTTATTCATCTTTGCATGCCCAGCACCTTGCACAGGGTCTAGCCCATAGTAGGGCCTCAGTAAATATCTGTTGAAAAAGTGAGTGTCTGCTCATGTTGCGGAGTATGATCATTGCTGTAGTGTGTTAAAAAAATGACATCCACCCCATACCATTTAGCCTTAGCCTTGGTCAGATCCCAGGGCCAAATTAAGACTTTTCAAGGCCCCAACCACTAGCAAAACAGGAATAACAAAGACCTTAAAAGGCAGGAGCATCCTAACAAGTTCAAAGAACAGCAAAGAGGCCAATGTGGCTTGAATCCCTCCTCATGAGATAGATAGATAGAAAGATCAATCGATTGATTGCTCTATCTAAAGTGTAAAATAAGTATAAGAAAGTCCAAAAAAGTTCTAATTTTTTTCCAAGATGGAAATATGTAACTCCATTGGTTCCCTGAGAGCATCGTAGTCCACCTATAGGGGAATCCAGCACTGGGAGAGATGTCTTGTGATAGAAGTGTTTGTCTCTTTCTATGCCTCTTTTGATCTTGCTGGGCTGGGCCTGCATTCCTGTGACATTTGATAGTTCAGTCTATGCCATTACAGCCTAATGATTAAAAGCACAGGCTTTGGGATCAGAAAATCTGAGATCAAAACCTGATTCTACCACTTACTGGCTGTATAACCTTGAGAAAGTAACTTAACCTCTCAGCCTTCAGTTTTCTCTTTTATGAAAATGGGATAGTGATTTCTGCCTCAGAGGAGTGCTGTCAGGATTAAATAAATAAAGGTATTTTTTAAAAAACAGCCCAGTACTTGACACAATAGTGGTTATTATGATCCTGGCGTAGCCCAGTCTCCTTTTAGATGTTATCTCTGCTCTAGAAATAAATCATGTGTCTCCTTCTTTGTTCCTTCTTAATCAAAAGACACTGCAAAAAGTGATGTCAGTGATAACGGTGGAGGAAAGAACTCCAAAATTCTGCCCTTCCATAAAAGTAATGAAAAAACTGGCCAAAACTGTCAGAATCAACTTTTTTGGAACTCTGGAAAATAATCAAAGGCTTGTAGCAACCCAGGGAGCACTTAGACAAGAAAAAATGGCTTAGCCTCAGTGAGAACAGTGAACTTTGTGGCATTTTAACTTGCCTTAGTCCAATTCCTAACTCCCCAGCCCAGTGGTAGCCATGAAAACAACAGCCCACATTCCTGGTACATGAGGAAACAGAACAGACCTCATTCAAAATGAATTATTTGACCTGTCTGGTGGCTTCCTGGAGTACTGGCTCAAAAAACTGGTCTGTATTTCATCCTACTAGGAACTCACCTAGTGCTACAGCGGCTACCTGGGGGGCATTTGTTGTAAATATTTATAAGCAAATGTTTTAGTCACTGCTGCCTAAGGCAATAGATATCTGTTGGGGCAAACAATACATTAACCGAAAAGCTTTGGAGGAAAAGCTAGGAAATTAAATGTCCATAAGGACTTTGAAAAGCTCAGACATATTCCTGCAACTCTGTATGGCCACATACAGGGCTGTGCACATGCCTGGGAAAGACCTGAAAAAGTCCTAAGTTCTCACTCTTGGCTGACTTTGATGTTCTGCACAAGCATAAAGTGAAAGCCAAGGCAGAGTTGTAAACTGCCTGGCTGAGCATTTAAGGCTTCCCTCAACAGGCACACAGAGTGTGTTGGCAAAGAATCAGAGATATTTTATTTCCAGGTGTTCAAGTAAATCTCTTTCCTGTCATTAGCACACCACCAAGGCAATAGAACAGAGATTTCAGTGGCCAGACAAGACAAAGAATACAGACTTACTAAACAAACAAACAATAAAAACTACCACAAGCAACTACAAAACAAACTCTTGGTGGGGGGGGGAGAACTTGATTTCCAGAGTTGTCATATTAAAATATATTCAAAATGTCCACTTTTCAATAAAAAATTATAAAGCATAAAAAGATACTAGAGAGTATGGCCCATATACAGGGAAAAAGGTAATCAATAGAAACTGTCCCCAAGGAAGCCCAATGGTTGGACTTTCTAGACAAAGACTTTAACTCATCTATTTTAAATATGTTCAAATAACTAAGGGAAACAATGCCTACAAAATTAAAGGAAAATATGAAGACAGTGACTCACCAAATAGAGAATATCAATAAAGAGTTAGAAATTATAAAAAGATCCAAATAGAAACTCTGGAGTTGACAACTACGATAACTGAAATGAAAATTCACTAGAGGGGCTCAACAGCAGATTCAAGCAGGCAGAAGACGCAAAGTACTTGAAGAGAGGTCAATTGAGATTATCCAGTCTGAAGAACAGAAAGGAAAAAGAATGAAGAAAAATAAACAGAGCCTTGGAAATCTGTTTGACATTATCAAACATCAACATATGAATAATAGGAGTCCCAGAAAGAGAGAAGAGAAAGGGGCAGAAAGAATATTTGAATAAATAATGGCCAAAAGCTTTCCTAATATGATGAAAAAAATTAATCAACACTTCCAAGAAATTCAGTAAACTCAAAGAGAAACTCAAAGAGATCCATACTTAGACATCTCATGATCTAAATGTAAAAAGACAAAGAGAATATTGAAAGCAGCAAGAGAGAAGCAGCTCATCACATAAAAAGGATCCTTAATAGGATTAATAACTGATTTCTCATCAAAAACTATGGAGGCCAGAAGGCAACTGAATGACATATTCAAAGTGCTGAAAAGAAAAAAATACCTATAAACCAAGTTATTAATCAAAACCATCTTCAAAAATGGAGAAATTAAGATATTCCCAAATAAACAAAAACTGAGAGTTCATCACTGGCCGACTTACCTTACAAGAAATGCTGTATAGAGTCCTTCGGGTTGAAATGAAAGGACACTAGACAGTAATTCAAATCCACATGAAGAAATAAAGAGGATCAGTAAAGGTAACTACCTAGGTAAATATAAAAGACAGTATAAATGTATTTTTTGTTTATAACTCTTTTTTTCTATCTCATTTAAAAGGAAACTGCATAAAGCAATAATTACAAGTATACGATGATGGATATACAGGATATAAAGATTTAATTTGTGACAATAAGAGTATAAAGGAGGGGGAGAAGGAGTTGTATAGGAGGAAAGTTTGTATACTATTGAAATTAAGTTGATATTAATGTGAACTAGAATTTTATAAATTAAGATGTTAATTGTAATCCCCAGGGCAACCACTAAGAAAATAACTCAAAAAAATATAGTAAAAAAAAAAGCAGAACGAGGGAATTAAAATGGCACACTAGAAAATATTCATTTAACACAGAAGAAGGCCATAATAGAATCATTTAGAAACCAAAAAAAAAACCATAAATCTATAGAAAACAAATAGCAAAATAGTAGAGTACATCCTTTTTACATTAAATGTAAATGGATTAAACTCTTCAATTAAAAAAGCAAAGATTGGAAGAAAAGATAAAAGCAGCATGATCCAACTATATACTATCTACAAGAGACTCACTTTAGATTCAAAAAAACCAATAGGCTGGAAGTAAAAGATACTCCATACCAAAGGAGAGCTGGAGTAGCTATGCTAATAACACGCAAAATAGACTTTTAGACAAAATTGTTAATAGGAACAAAAAAGAACATTATATAATGATAAAAGGGTGAATTCATCAAGAAGATATAACAGTTATGAATGCATATGCACCTAACAACAGAGCCCTAAAATACATGAGGCAAAACTCACAGAATTAAAGAAATAAATAGATAACTCAACAATCGTAGATGGAGACTTCAATACCACACTTTAAGTAACAGATAGAACACTAGACAGAATATCAGCAAGGAAATAGAAGACATGAACAACATTATAAACTAATTAGACCTAGTGACAAATACAGAACATTCCACCAAATAGCAAGAGAGTACACATTAATCTCAAGAGTTTAAGGAACACTCTCCAGGACAGACCTTATGTTAGGCCACAAAACAAGTCTCAGTAAATTTTGAAAGACTGAAATCATACAAAAATATGTCCTACAACCACAATGGAATTAAATTAGAAATGAATAATAGAAGGAAATTTGGAAAACTCATAAATATGTGGAAATTAAACAACATGCTCTTAAATAACCACTGGGTCAAGGAAGAATTCAGAAGGGAAATTTGAAAATACTTTGAGATGAATGAAAATAAAAGCACAACATATCAAAACTTTTGGGATGCAACTAAAGCACTGCTCAGAGGGAAATTTATAGCAATAGATGCCTACATTTCTCCAATCAATAACCTAACCTTTCACCTTAAGAAACTAGAAAAGAGGGGCCGGCCCGGTGGCGCAAGCGGTTAAGTGCACACCCTCTGCTGCGGTGGCCCAGGGTTCACTGGTTCAGATCCCGGGTGTGCACCAATGCACCACTTGTCAGGCCATGCTGTGGCGGCGTCCCATATAAAGTGGAAGAAGATGGGCATGGATGTTAGCCCAGGGCCAGTCTTCCTCAGCAAAAAGAGGAGGATTGGCAGATGTTAGCTCAGGGCTGATCTTCCTCACACACACACACAAAAAAGAAACTGGAAAAGAAAGATCAAACTAAACTCAAACCAAGGAGAAGGAAGTAAAATAAAGCTTGGAACAGAAATCAAGGAAATAGAGAACTGAAAAACAATAAAGAAAAATCAATGAAACCAAAAGTTGGTTCTTCGAAAAGATCAGCAAACCTTTAGCTAGATAACCAACAAATATTTACTTAGACTGACCAAGAAAATAAGAGAGAAAACTGAAATTACTAAAATCAGAAATAAAACAGAGGACATTACTATTGACTGATGGAAATGTTCTGTAATTAGATAGTGGTGATAGTTGCACAACATTATGAATATAATAAAAACCATTGAATTGTACACTATAAAATGGTACATTTTATGTTATGTAAATTATATCTTAATTTAAAAATTGCAAAAAATATTATTATAATACTAGCTGTGAAAGAGACAGTAAAGATTTTAAAAAGAAAAAGAGACTATAGAGTACAGAAGCTTTTCTAAGGATCATCATTCCTGTCAGCCCTACTTTGCATCCTCTAATTTCATCCTTCATATCCATTCTCTCTCACACTAGATACAGAATCTTAATTTTGGATGAAAAAATGTTGGATCAAGAGAACAAACAGGAGACCTCTTTCTTCAGTCCTTTTTCCACTGAAGGACAGATAGCAACTATATCTGTTTTTTCACCTATGTCATATTCAAAAGATGGGTATCAGTCCAATCATTAGACTCTCCAGAAAGACAATCTGTCAAATTAGTCCTCATCCATCAATTAATTAGAAATATTTATTGAGCACTTACATATACACAGCACTACACGTGAGTGGGAAGAGGACCCCTACAAACAAGAACATTGACCATGTGTTCCATATGTCTGTGGATTTGCTGTAACTGTGCAAGGTATCAAGAACCAATATGAATGGTACATTGTGGCTGTCATTCAATGGGACTGAGAATGGTCTGAGAAGGTCTCATAGCTAAGGTGGAATGGGAGGCTCGTGGATTGATGGAATGGTTACCGAACTGCTGTGTTTGCTGGGAACAAACTATTTTCCAACATCTAAACCGAATCCTACTGAATCATGCTTGGAAATTTTTGAAAACATAGAGTTACAGGGGCCAGCCCGGTGGCATTGTGGTTAGTTTGTGCACTTCACTTTGGTGGCCCGGGGTTCGCGGGTTCTGGTCCCAGGCGCGGACTTACACACTGCTCATCAAGCCATGCTGTGGTGGCGTCCCATAGACAAAATAAAGTAAGATTGGCACAGATGTTAGCTCGGGGACAATCTTCCTCAAGCACAAAGAGGAAGATTGGCAACAGATGTTAGCTCAGGGACAATCTTCCTCACACACACACACAAAAACATATAGTTATACAATTTTCAGGTGACATCATAAAGTTTGACTCCCTCCTTGAGGTCAAGGTTTGATAATCCAGATGACAAGGTAAGAGGCTTACTGATAATCATCTAAGGGTTGGATAAATCACTTGAACACAGGCCCTTCCCAGCACCCACTGGTCAATAATGCAGTCATACACCACAGAGAACATACACATATATACCCAAATCCCCTTCCACCTCCCACAGAGCCAGTGTGCCTGCTCAAGAGGTTCCTATGAGAGTAGAAGGAAATCTAGGACCATATTTTACTAAACAACTATCCCCTGATGGATTCCTTGAAAGATCTATTTACTCTTTTAATCAATTAAGATAGCACTTAGTTTCCTGGAATTTTTTGTAAATGCACTCAGGGGAAGAATCATTATTCATGTAGTACAGGAATGGCATAGAGCAGCCTGTAAAGCCCACGGTGATGGCAGAACCATTAACTAGCCACAATACTCTTTCCAAATAAGCCCAGTTGAGACCTTAGACTACTTCTCTATTGGCTCCAAACAGCCACCACCACTCAATTGGGATTGGAATTGTAAAATGAAATTCCAGTATTTGCTGTCCTGGAATAGAATCCAGCCCTACAGACTTGTAAGTAAGCTCCCTATTTAAGCCCTTAGTTATTTTTAAACCTTTGGCACTTAGATAATTTTAAGCTTTTGTGAACATAAGCTTCTTAGGGTAAAGAACAATTCCAAGAATTTAAGTTTACTGGAATTGGCATCATTTGGGACAGTTCTGCCAATATTCATAAGGTTGGTAGGTAACAGATATAAATGTATACATGTGTCATAAGTATAACACTTCAATAACTTCTCAAAATCCACACCTAGTATTGTTATTTATTGAGAGGAACAAGTGAGGGTGAGAGAGGGAATGGCAAAGCGGGAGGGGTGGGAAGCAGGTGGAAGTGGAGGAAAGCAGAAATGGGGGAGGAGCAGAGGGGACAAAATATCAGCAGAGAGCGGAAGGGACCGATCTGCCAAAAATCAGTCTAGGCTCTGACAGGAAAAGGAGATTGGTCAGTCAGGGCTTTCCTGGCACCTACTTTGGATGCTTGAAGGCCATGAGGCATCGCTCGTACTTTCCCACCATACTCCAGGCCATGACCAGGCCGTCAGTACTTCCCGAGAGGAGGTGCCACTGGTCAAAGCACAGACACTTCACGGCTCCCTCATGGCCACTGAGAGTCTGTGAGAAAAGATGCCTCTGATTTCAGCCTGTCTTCAACTCAGATTGTGACTCCTCCAAGGGTCCGTGCTGGAGGCTTCTTTAGATGAATCCCAAAGCCACACTCCACCAATCCATCCATGACTACACTCACTCGGTATTTACCTGAGCTGACTGTACTTTTGCTCTAAAAAGGCCAGTGGAGTCCATGCCTCCCTCTCTCCAGAACTCTCTCCCCAGTTAAGGAGAATGTGATCAGGGAGAGACTTTGCTCCTGGTGGGTCTGTGGCAGGGGCAGGCCCATCTTCCTGGAGTACCAGAGGGGACAGAATTCACCATCCTCTGCTGCCACAAGGTGAAGGGTCAGGTATTCCATCCCCAGCTCCTTCCTCAGACCCAGAGGGCACCTGGGACATCCCTGTGCCTGCAACTGCTGGTTAAACCACAGTGACAACAAGATCAGTAGGAAAAAATCCACCAGCCAGGCCAAGAGCTTCTCACTGTGATCCTATGTTCCTGGTACAAATGATATGTCACCACCACCCACTAGGACCAGGGAGTTTCAAATCCAGTAAGAATATTTTGTGTGTGTGAACATTCAATCACTTTCAAGACAGCCAATGTTCTCTTCTTATCAGAGAGTAAAAAGAAAAACAACTGTGGCTTTGTTCATTCCCTTACCCCAGGTCAGAATCAGCGTAGAATGTTCTGGAAGAGGAAAAGGTACTTTGCCTATGCTGCTGTTGAAAGACCCTGAGCCTACATATCGTGTGGAGTCAGAATGCAGCCTTCTGCCACCACCCCCATGACAGTGTGGCTCACATGGGCCCTGACCCTCCACTGACTCAGAATGGCCCCTTTTTGAGGAGGCCTTCCCCTTCAAGTCTTCAGGACCACTCTTTTGGTGACTGTAACTCGATTGCTCCAGGGTGGTCTGGGTAGCTACATGGGGTGAGACCATCAGTCTCCTCCAATTCGTCACCACCAGTGCCCCATTCCCCCCACGGCCCACAGCCCTCTCACCTTTACCAGCTGGGCCATGACAATGTGCCACACTTTGACTATCCCTCGCTCACAGCTGCTCACGATGTAGGTGTCGTTGATCCTGATGGCCAAGATGGGGTCTTTGTGTTTAAATGTCTTCAGGCATTTCCCTGTCTCTACATCCCACTCTGCAAGGGAGAGGGAGAGAGAGGAAGAGGACAGGGATGAAGGAGGGTGACACTGGTGTTCCCCATCCCATCACAGGATCTAAGACTAGCCAAGCACATCAAGTCAGACCCTAAAAGGCCTTTGCCTGGCCCAGCACCCCCACAGGCTCACCAACAGCTCCATGTACCTGCAACACAGAACTCCCTGATCACAGGCCTTTGCGAGGGCCAGCAATGCGTAGACCTTGGCTCTGACTCTGGTACTTAGCCTTGGGGTCCGAGTGCTGGACAATTCATCTCCAATAAGCCTCCTCCTCAAGCCTGAAAAATGCTTGCTATTGAGTAGATTTCAGGAAAAACGTGGCATATGTTTAATGCCGTCATTTCTCCCAGATGCTGTTTTCCTGACCCACACCTTCTATCCCCCAAAGAAAAGAAAGCTGCCTATCGTCATTTACATTTTAAATATTTCTGAATCTGACTTTGGGATTTTACTAGTTGAGAGGTTGTCACAGCTGGGGGCAGGCTTAATGCTGTTTCTACGTAGACGGCGCTAGAGCAACTGCCTAGCGTACTGTGAGTGTTGAGATATGATAGTAGATGGGTGGGTGGGAGAACAGAGCTTAAAGGAGGAAACTGAAAGTGAGCGTGGCGTATTCAGGGATGAGAACGTTCAAGTTGGCTTCATCAGCCCTCAAAGTACCTTCTTCCTCGGGCAACAGAAGGTGAAACCTAAGACAAAACAATAACCACAGCTGATTCCTACATTAACTCACTAACACTTACAGTGAGCCAGCCACCATTCAAAGCGCTTGACATGTATTAACTCATCTTCACAAGAGAGGTGCTATTATTATTCCCCACTACACAGATGAGGAAACTGAGGCATAGGGAGGTTTGGTAACCTGCTCAAGATCACACAGGCGGTGAGAGGAGTGAGCTGGGATTTGAAAACAGAGAGTCTGGATCCAGAGGCCATGCTCTTAACCATTTACACTAGGTTAACCCTAATATGTAAGTATGCTTTTCTTCACTTTTTTTTTACACATATATATTGGTCCTTTTATTAAATTAGAAATGGGAAAATTGCAAGGTGAATTAAAAGACTCATTGGTAAGGTTCCCTGGTTTAAAGAATTTAAAAAGTTGGGGGTTACCTTTCAGGTCTCTAATTGTCTCCTTTTTTCATTCTGTGTTGGTAACCCAGGCTGGTGGCTGCAGCCAGGATTAGGGTAAAATGAGAGATCTTTTTTTCATTGTATATTTTGTGCATTAATTTTGACTTTCTAAATATTGCGTTAAAAGGTCTATATTTTGAGCTTTTTGGTGCCCCCTGAAATTTTACACTGGAGGTGAGGGCCTAACTCCCCTCGCCCTAGTTCCAGCACTGCCAGTGGCCCACAAGACTCTCTCAGCTGGGTTGGAGGCATTGTCTGCCCTTCCATCTTCAAAGCCTCATCTTTTCATCCTTTCTGCTCCACTCCTCAAAGGAATCATGGCAATGAGACTTTCAGTCAGGTGGAGGAGGGCAAAGAGGGAGGGAGTAAGATTTCTTAAGCAGGTCTGAGTGTTTGCGTTGGACCACTCCATTGTCCCTGTCCCACATTTTCCTCCACCTGCCCCTAACATGCTGTGGTTCCCCGGGTCCCTTGCTTCTCTTTTCTTTTCACTCTTCCCCCTGCTTTGCAGGGGAAATCTCATCCACACCTGGGGCTTCTACCTTTCATTACAATTGATAACCACCAAATCAACATATCGGGAGCCCCAGACCGGTATAGCCACACCTCCCTCCGCCTCCTGCAGTCCTCACCTGGACGTCCTCAGGAATCCCAGACTCAGTGTACTAGCTTTCTATTGCGCTGTAACAAATTACCACAAGCTTAGTGGCTGAAACCAACACAAATGCATTGTCTTACAGAAGTTCAACATGACCCCACAAGGCTAAAATCAAGAGTCAGCAGGGCTGTGTTCATTTATGGAGGCTCTGGGAGGAATCCATTTCTTTGCCTTTTCTACCTTCTAGGAGTCACCCACATTCCTTGGCTCACGACCCCCTTCCTCTATCTCCAAAGCCAGCAACGTTACATCTCTCTGACCATTCTTCCATAATCACGTCTCCCTTTGATCACAGAGAAGAAAATTTTTCTGTGTTTAAGGATCCATGTAATTACCCATGGGCCCACACTGATAACCCAGAATAATCTTCCCATTTTAAGGTCCTTAACTTAATCACATCTGCAAAGTCCCTTTGTCACACAAGATAAAATAGTCACAGGTTCCAGGGATTATTACATGAACATCTTTGGTGGGCCATTATTCTGCCCACCACACTCACCGGGTCCAAAATTAAAGGCATCATCTCCTCCTCCATTCCCCACCCTACCCTCCTCTTCCCCGTAATCCCTATTTCCATTAATGGCACTTCCGTATACCCATTGGCCTGAGTTAAAAAGTCTGGCCACATCATCTGCCCTTCAACCTTTCTCACTTTTCATGTCCAATTGGTGGTGAAGCCCTGCCACTTCTGCCTCTAGAAATCTCCCTTCAGTCTGGGCCAGCTCATGTAAACTCACATCCATTTGAGTTTCTTCATACTTGCCTATTCTCAGATATTCTGAAGACACCACAGCAATTCTCCAGTGTCTTAACTTGTCCCCTGTCTCCACACAATCACTCCTCCCCAAATCCTTCTTCCACACTGTCACTAGAGTTATCTTTCTCAAATACACATTTGATCATGTGAATCTTCAGTTTAAAATGCATTTATAGCCTCCCATATCCTATAGGATAAAGTTCAATTTTCTACCGTGATGCAGAGGCCCTTGATAATCTGGCCCCAAACAAATTTACCAGCCTTATCTTCAACACCACATGCTGCAGTCCAGCCACACCTAGCAATGGGAAATTCCCTGAATACACCATTTTCTTGGACTGTCTGTGAATTTGCCTGTGCTGTTCCATCTGCTTAGAATGCCCTACACTCTCCCTCTGCCGGTAGAACTACTCATCCTCAAGAGCACACTCAAATAGCATTCTATCTGCAGTGCTTTCCTTCTTACTCTTATTTCTATGGTCCCTTAGAACTCCACATGTTGGTTAGGAGCACAAGATTTAGAGCCAGACAGCCCTGGATTCAAATTCCCACTCCACCCCTTAGCAGCTTTGATTTGGGACAAGCTGTTTTTCTCTCTGAGTTTTGTATTCCTCATCTGCGTCCAACTCATAGAGTTCTTGTGAGGGTTAAATAAGATAATATATGCAAAGCACCATCACAGTGCCTGTCACCAAGTTAGTACTCAACAAATGGCAGCTGTTCTCATTCACATATTTATTATATCCCCCATCATATGTTTGTATATCTATCTCCATTAGGAGACTACGAGCCTCTTGAAAAAATAAAAAGGCATATCGAAAGGGCCAAGTCATATTCAGTTTTTTCCTTAGCATCTAGCACAGTGTCTAGTTTATTGTAGGTTTTCAACAAATTGTTGTTGAATGGATGGGTCAATAGATATACGGATGGAAGGATGAATAAAAGAATAAATGACTGCCTATAGAAATAAGTAAAACAAGAATTGTGGCAACCTATGGATTTGGGGAAACTTCTTAGAAAATTTAAGGCACTTCTTTCTCACCTTTCACCTGGCAATCTCTTGCTCCAGATACCAGCATCTTCTTATGTAAATCCATGCAAGTGATTGTCCCCTGGTGGCCACTGAAGATTCGTATGCAAGCCCCACTTTTCAGATCCCAGTATCTGCAGGAATCAAGCCAAAAAAGATTTTTTGAAATTTTCTGAGGGCCCAAGGGATCATACTGCATAGAGTTCCTTTAGGTCAACAGGTAGTTGGAAGGCAGAAGACTTTCATGGTTAAGCTTAGTCAGAGGCCTGGAATTGAACCGCAGTTGCAGCACCAATTAGGTGTAACTTTGAGAAAGTTACTTAATTTCTGTGTAAATTTCATTTTCTCATTGATAAAATGGAAATCATAAAAATGGTAGTTACTTCATAGAGTTTTTGTGAAGAACTAAATACCATAAGCAGCAACTGTCAACCAGGGGTGACTTCCAGCCCCCGGGGGACATTTGACAATGTCTGGAGACACTTTTGGTTATCACAAGTCGGGAGGGAGGTGCTACTGGTATCCAGTCCATACAGTCTGAGTTTACTGCTAAACGTCCTACAATGCACAGCCCCCACATGAAGAATTTTCTAGCCCCAAATGTCAATAGTGCTGAGGTTGAGAAACTCTGCACAAAGGCATGTAACATTAGAACAGTGACCAACATGTAGAAAATACTTGATAAATGTTAGTTGGTGGAAGGGTCCCTGAAATTATCCCCAGGCTCAGAATCCATGGCACTAATTCAATGGTAGAGCTGATCTTCAAACAAGAACAACAGAATAATTTACCACAGCCACTTAGATCCCAAATATTTTATGTAGATTCCTAAAGCATAGCTAAGAGATATATGGGAACATATATGAGTCACACTGTTTATTAATAAGCCAACTTGCCTGAGGTCTCTCAATTCTCATTGATACCGACTTCCACTTCAGCCAGATTGCTTTCGTGACAGTGCAAAGTGTGATGTTAAGATGGTGGGCTCTGGAGCCAGGCTGCTTGAGGTCTGATCCCAAGTCCATCACTTACTAGCTGTGTGATCTTGGATAAGTTGCTGAACCACTCTGTCCCTCAGATTCCTCATCTATAAATTGGGGATAATAATGGTACTTTCCTCATAGAGTTATTATGAGACTTGATACATAATAAACAATTAATAAATGTTTCTTTTGTTTTTCTTTGGATGTGTTAAGCTTTTTCTTCTAATATTCCCAAAGGTCCTATAGCCTTATCTGTTTGTTAGAGCCTACTATGCATCCACAGTGCATTTAATGATGTCCCAGTGGTCTGAAAAAAGCATGGTTTGAATTTCTGTTTCTAGAAACATGGCCGACTATGTGTCTAGGTTGTTTTTCTTAATTTATGCAGAAAAGTTATTTGATAAACACTTTCAGAAAAATAAGAATAGAAAGAACTTCCTTGATTTAGTAAACTTATAAACTTATAAACTTATTAAGCATTATGCTTAATGGAGAATCTATAGATGTACTTCCTTCAAAAAGGGGAACAAGGTAAAGATGCCTACTCTCACTGCTACTGCTTAGCTGGAAGGCCTAGGCAAAGTTAGAATGGAAGAAAAAGAAAAAAGTAGGATAAGTATTAGAAAAGAAGATGATATGTTGTCATTATTTCCATTTGTTAAGATCATCTACACAGAAAAACCAAATCAACACACATACAGTTAGAACTAATAAGAGAGGTTAGCAAGGTTGCTAGATACGAGATCAACCTACAAAAATCAATACCATTTCTCTATACCAGCAACAACCAATTGGAAAATATAGACGAAAATAAGATACCATTTACAATAGCAATAAAATTATAAAGTTTATAGGTATTAAATAAGAATAGACAAGACTTTTATAAAGAAAATTTTAAAGCTCTAAGAAAGAACAAAGAAATGAATTGTTGCCCAAATTATTCTGTGAATTCAATGCAACCCCAATCAAAAGTCTAGTTAGATTTTTTTAAAGCTGATAAACTTACTCTAAAAACTCAAAAAATATATACCATAGCTGTTACATAAAAAGGAAAATGAAGAGTAGAACTTGCCCCACCATCATATATTAAAACATTCTCCAAATGCATAACTAAAAATAAGACAAATCAATAATTTTAAAAACAGGGTGGTTCCAATCAAAATCCCAGCAAGTTATTTTGTAGATGTTGACAAACTTATTTTCTAGTTTATATGGAGAGTCATAAGACCCAGAATCACCAACACAATATTGCAGGAGGGGAACAAAGTTGGAGGAGTGACACTACCCAACTTCAAGACTTACTATAAGGCTACTGTAATTAAGATAGTGTGGTATTTGTGAAAAAACAGACAAATAGATGAATGGAACAGAATAGAGAGCCCAGAAATAGACCCACATAAATATAGTCAACTGATTGCAAAGGGAATACAATGGAGCAAAGCTAGTCTTTTCAACAAATGGTGCTGGAATAACCGAACATCCACATGCAAAAAAATGAATTTAGACACAGACCTTACACCCTTCATAAAAATTAACTCAAAATGGATCATAGACTTAAATATAAAACACAAAACTATAATACTCCTAGAAGATAACATAGGAGAAAACTAGATGACCTTGGGTATGGCATGAGCCATGAAAGAAATAATTGATAGGCTGGACTTCATTAAAATTAAAAATGTCTGCTCTGCAAAAGACAATGTCAAGAAAACGAGAAGACAAGGCACAGACTGGAAGAAAATATTTGCAAAATGCACATCTTATAAAGGACTGTAACCCAAATTATACAAAGAACATACAAAACTCAACAATAAGAAAACAAACAACCCAATTAAAAAATGGACCAAAGATCTTAACAGACACCTCATCAAAGAAGATATGCAGATGGAAAATAAGCATATGAAAAAATGTTCCACATCATAGGTCATCAGGGAAATGCAAATTTAAAACAATAATGAGATACCACTACACACCTATTAGAAGAGCCAAAATCCAAAATACTGACAACACCAAATGCTGGTGAGGATGTGGAGCGACAGGTACATTCATTCATGGTGGGAATGCAAAATGGTACAGCCATGCTGGAAGACAGTTGGTGGTTTCTTACAAAACTAAACATACTTTTACCATAAGATCCAGCAATCGTGCTCCTTGGTATTTACCCAAAGGAGCTGAAAACTTACGTCCACACAAAAACCTGCAAACAGATGTTTATAGTAGTTTTATTCATAATCACCAAAACTTAGAAGCAATCAAGATGTCCTTCAGTAGATGAATGAATAAACAAACTGTGTACCTCCAGACAATGGAATATTATTCAGGATGAAAAAGAAATACGATATCAAGCCATGAAGAGACATGGAGGAACCTTGAATGCATGTTACTCAGTGAAAGAAGCCAATCTGAAAAGGCTATATACTGTATGATTCCAACTATATCACATTCAGGAAAAGGCAAAACTGTGGAAACAGTAAAAAGATTAGTGGTTGCTAGATGTTGGGGTAGGGAGGAAGGATGAATAGACAGAGCACAGAGAATTTTTTAGGACTGTGAAAATACATCGTATGATACTGTAATGATAGATATGTGTCATTATATATTTATCCAAATTCATAGAATGTACAACACCAAGAGTGAACCCTAAGGTAAACTATGGACTTTGGGTGATTATGCTGTGTCCATGTAGGTTCATCAGTGGTAATAAATGTCCCACTCTGGTGGGGGATGTCGATACTGGGGGAAGCTGTGGGGGGGGGGGGCAGGGAATATGTGGGAAATCTCAGTACTTTCCTTTCAATTCTGCTGTGAACCGAAAACTCCTCAATAAAAATTGTCTTTTTCTTTAAAAAAAAGAAAAAAGTGGTTTTGATGCAAGAACAGAAGAACAAGCCAATGGTCTAGAATAGACAGCTCACAGAGACATTCTCACATATATATGGGAAATTACCATGTGATAAAGAAGACACTACAAATCATTGGGGGAAATGGCAGGTTATTTAATAGTTGCCATGGGGGAAACTGCTCACTTTATTTAAAAATAAATAGATAAAATGGAAACTCTACCTAATACCACATACAAAGTTGGACTGCAAGTAGATTAAAGAACTGAATGCAAAAGGTAAAACTATAACAGAAGAAAATATTTAAAAATACCTTTGTGGGGCCGGCCTGGTGGCGCAAGCGGTTAAGTGCGTGCGCTCCGCTGCGGTGGCCGAGGGTTCGCTGGTTCGGATCCCGGGTGCGCACCAATGCACTGCTTGTCGAGCCATGCTGTGGCGGCGTCCCACATAAAGTAGGGGAAGATGAGCATGGATGTCAGCTCAGGGCCAGTCTTCCTCAGGAAAAAGAGGAGGATTGGCATTGGATGTTAACTCTGGGCTGATCTTCCTCACAAAAAAAAAAAAAATACCTTTGTGACCTAGAGGGGGGAAGAATCACAGACACGAAGCCCCCCTAAAAATTGATTAATGGATACATTTTATTCATCAATATTAAGAATTTTTATTCAACAAAGGACACTATGAACAAAGTTAATAGATTGATGAAAGCATAGGAGATGACATTTGCAATTTTAAAACTGACAAGGGACTAATATGTAGAAGAAAACATATGGAAGTGCAAATTAATAAGAAAATTAGAGTAGCCCCAATAGAAAAATGAGCAAAGAGTATAATCAGGCAATTTACAAAAGAGGAAGCCCCAAAAGTTAATAAACAAATGTATTAGTAACCAGAGTAATATAAATGGAAATGATTGTACGTACAAGTATCCATCTGGCAAAAATTTGAAAGCTGGATGACGCCCAATATTGGTAGGGAAATAGAGATACAGGAGCCCTGCTGGTGAGAGTGTAGACCCATATGGTCATTCTGGACTTCAATCTGGTACTTCTTAGTCAAATTAGGGACTGCCTACCCTATGTCTTGGCAAGTCCACTCCTGGGTACATATCCCTGAGAAATCTCACAATGTCCATGAAGGGACAAAGATACTCAGTGCAGCATTATTTGGAGGCAAGGTAGTGTCCATCACTGGGACAGCAAGCAGGTAAAATGTATATGCAGAACTCAGAGTAAAACTACACAACAGTTAAAAACAACTGATTAGATGATAACATGGATGAATCTTTGAAACATAGGGTGAGGTGCAAAAGTCAGATACCAAGAGAGGTTTAAAATAATACCACGGGTGAGAATTATAAATACATGTACAAAATATATCAATACACGTTTTAAGAGAACACACATAAAAAAAGATACACATTAAGAAAGATTTGGGGGCTGGCCTGGTGGCGTAGCAGTTAAGTGCGTGCGCTCCACTGCAGCAGCCCAGCATTCACAGGTTCGGATCCCGGCGCGCACCAACTCACCACTTGTCAAGCCATGCTGTGGCGGCATCCCATATAAAGTAGAGGAAGATGGGCACGGATGTTAGCCCAGGGCCAATCTTCCTCCGCAAAAAGAGGAGGATTGACAACAGATGTTAGATCAGGGCTAATCTTCCTCACAAAAAAAAAAAAAAGAAAGAAAGAAAGAAAGATTTGATGGTAGGCCGTGGGGGAAGAGAATAGGAGTGAAGAATGGAGATAAAAAAGAATTAACAAATAAATAAATAAAACAAGAATGGAGCCTTGTACGAACCAATAATAATAACATGACGTGAACAGAGAAGTATAATTAACTCAATCCTCTGCACCTGAGGTCTGAAAAAGAATTTAAACAAATCTCCTCACCCACCCCCTGAAAAAGAGATTTAGATGGAAGTGTGAAAGTCCAAGAATAGCCAAAACATCTGAAGAAGAACAAAATGGGGGGACTTGCACTACCAGATACAGAGACTTTAAATACCAAAAAAAGTAATTAAGACAGTGTGGTATTGACCAACAGTAGTCAAACAGACAAACGACATAGAATAGAGAGTCCAGAGATAGAAATATATGGATTCTCGTCTTATGACAAAGCAAGTAGTGCAGAGCGGTGGAGAAAGGACAGTCTCTTCCATAAATGGTACTTAGATAATTGGATATCCAAATGCAGAGAGAAAAAAAAGGAATTGGACTCTCACCTCATATGATAACAAAAATCAGTTTCAGGTAGATTTAAGACCTAAAGATGAAAGGCAAGGCTATTATTAAAAAAAAAAAACCTTTAAAAAAGACACTATAGGAGAATGTCTTTATGACTTTAAGGTAGGGAAGGATTTCTTAAACATGTCAAATCAACAAAGTTGACTACATTAATGTTAAAATTATCTGTTCACCAAAGGACACCACAGACAGTGAAAACATGAGTCTTAAAATCTAAGAAGAGGGCCGGCCCTGTGGCTTAGTGGTTGAGTGCGCGCACTCCGCTGCTGGCGGCCCGGGTTCGGATCCCGGGCGCGCACCGACGCACCGCTTCTCCGGCCATGCTGAGGCCGCGTCCCACATACAGCAACTAGAAGGATGTGCAGCTATGACATACAACTATCTACTGGGGCTTTGGGGGGAAAATAAATAAATAAATAAAAGACCCAATTTTAAAAAATAAATAAATAAATAAAAATAAAATCTAAGAAGAAATTTGCAGCACAAAAATAAACAGAGAATCAGAATCCAGAAAATATAAAGAACTCCTATGAATCAATAAGAAAAGGATAAGTAAACCAACAGAAAAATAAGCCAAATAAACAGAAACTGAACACGAATTTCAGAGAAGAGGAAGCACAAATGGCTCCAAAACATACTGTGATGGCTAATTTTATGTGTCAACTTGGAGGGTGTTTTTGGACGAGGTTAAACTTTAAATCGGTGAACTGTGAGTAAGGCAGGTTGCCCTCCATAATGTGGATGGGCCTCACCCAATCAGCTGAAGGCCTGAATAGAACAGAAAGACCAGCTTCCCCTAGCAAGAGGGAATTCTCCAGCAGACTGCCTGCAGACTTCGTCTCCTGGATCTCCAGCCTGCTGGCCCAGGCTGCAGATTTTAAACTTTCGGGGTTCCATAATCACATGAGTCAATTCCTTCTAATAAATCTCTTTATATACATGTATATAAGAAGGGATCTTCTCAGACCCTGCCAGTGGGAGTGTAACTTAATACAACCACCTTGAAAAACAATTTAGTACTCCTAACTAGAAATTCCACTACTAAGAATATACCTTAAAAAAAAACTCAGGCCCTATAGTCAACAATACTGTGCCATATATTTGAAAGTTGCTAAGAGAGTAGATCTTAAAAGTTCTCATCACAAGAAAAAAAAATTTTGTAACTATGTGTGGTGATGGACATAACTAAACTTATTGTGGTAATCATTTTGCAATATATACATATATCAAATCATTATGTTGTACACCTAAAACTAATAGATTATATGTTGATTATATCTTGATAAAATTTTTTTTTAAAAAACTCATGCACATGGGCACCAGGAAACACATCTAAGAACATCTATGGCAGCACTTTTGAAAGAATAAAAGACTACAAACAATGCAAATATCCATCTACAGAAGAATAAATGAATGAGTTATGATATAGTCATCCAATAAAATACAATATCTCAGTGAAAATAAATTAATTATTGCTATCTACATCATATGTGTGAATCTCAAAATCATAGTTCAGTGCAAGAATCAAGTACAGATGAATTTTTAAAATATAATTCCATTTATGTTAAGTTCAAAAATGGACAAAAGTAATCAATATATTTGGAGATATATAAATAGGTATCAAAATTATAAAGAAATCTATGAAGAAATACAAGGGAATAATTAGTATAAAATTTAGGATAAGATTACCTCTGGTTGGTAGGAAGGAAGAAGCAAAAAGGAAAGGCACGCAGTGGGATTTGGGGAATGGTCATGTTCTATTTCTCTGCCACAGTAATGAGCACATGGGTGTTTATTATATTGTTTACAAATATACGTATACATACATTGTCAAACACTATTTTGCTTCTACATCGGATTTCGCACCCACAAAAAACTACTATCCCATGAAGGAATCTATAAAAAGAAATATAAATTACGCCTTCACCTAAGAACTCTAAGAAAGATACTTTCTGATTCACAGTCTTCAACTAGAAAACAGATCTGAGAATTGTTATAAATCTATGTCATTCAGAGTTTAAACAATATACAAATTCTTGGTTTTTACCTTGCCAAAAAGAAGAAAATGTTGTGGGTTATTCTAGAAGTCAGTATCATTTAGGGTAACTTTTCAATAAACACAAAAAGGAAAAAGCGTGTGTGCTTCTTCCACAAGCTGACTTTAGGCCCTGGGTGGGGACTACAACTTCCTTGGACCACTCACCTGATGCTCAGGTCATAACTCCCGCTCAGAAGAAAGTTTTCCTCCTCACACAAGAAGAGGGCTCGGACACTGCCAGCATGGCCTCGGAATTCAACAGGCATCTCCTTCATTTGTCTGAGGTCCAGAAGCCGGATCTTCCGATTGAATGACACAGCTACCAAATCTCCCCCTGAATAGTGAATCACTCTGTTTCTGTCCCACCTGAGTTGCAGGGGGAAAAGGATGATCCATGAAAGGAGAGTTAGTGTCCTTCCTGAAACTCACTGAGCACAGTGGCTCTCACCTGCAGCAATGGTATAATGGAAAATTCAGGGCCTTCCAACAAGGGATGTAGCAGAAGGCAAGGTCTAGTACTAATGGGCCCTGATGAATCCCTACCTCATACCATAACAAAAATCCATTTCAGGTAGATTTAAAACCTAAAGATAAAAGGCAAAATTATAAAGAAAAAAATCTGCTAATGTATGATAAATCCCCAAGAGAGAATAGAGTATGCAGGATTTCCCAAACTTATTTGACGGTGGAAATCTTTTTTCATGGAAAACCTCAGAGGAACACAGTTGGGATGCCCTATACCCACTGCATATCCCTCTTTTCTTCTTTTTTTCTTAACCAATATCCTATGAGCGTATATTAGATTAAGTCCTGGGCTAATAGGTTCCACGGCATATACAAAGATGAATAAGATATGGGACAAGCCCTCAATGAGCTTGTAGTCCAAGAGAACAGGGTGAGTTGAATTAATTTTCCAATCATAAGATTATTAGCAAGTAGATAAAATATGAGCAGGATGACCAAACAATTTATTGTCCAAACTGAGACATTTTTTATTGTGAAAGGGGACACTGTAATTCATTACTTGAGGACCACAGAGGATAGCAGGATTGTTTCAGTCAACAGTCACTCTAACTAGGAATAGCAACTCTTGGTCTTTTTGTGCTCGTTCCATTTTCGTCATATCTAGAGTTCAACCAGTCATCTTCTCTTTTAAAGAGCACTTATCACCAGACTATCCATAAAAACTCGACTTTGCCTTTCCCCTTTCTGCTCTGTCTTCCCCCTACTGACTGGTTAAGATGCAATTTGATAGTAAGATTCACGGCCAAAAATAAAATAGAGAAGACCTTCACAAACCCCTGTGAGTAAAGAGTGAAGTCCCAAAGTTTGGCAGGAAATTGATTATTAAAGGATCTTCTTACGGCATATCCAAATGATGTCACACTATGCAGTTATCATGAATACCCTTTTCATATTTAACATGGAAAGATATCCACAGAACTTTGCTGGAGTGGGTTACAGAAATATGTGTAGATTGACCCCATTCCTACTTCAAATATGTATTTATACATGCAAAGGAAAAAATTCTAGGACAGACATCAATATTAACAGCAGTTATATCTAGGTGACAAGATTATAGGAGATCTTTGCTTTTCTCTATACATTTTCTGGCATTTGGTAGATTTTTTCCCAATAAGCATACATTACTTCTAAAATTAGAATAAAACAATAAAGATATTTCAAAACATCAACAATAGGCTGTTGGTCAGTGTACCCAAAATTTATAAGGGGAATGTGTCCTCCACCCACTGCTGAGAACTCTGCAAAAATCAAGCACCTATTCTCCAAATGGGATATCGTGTTAGTTTGGGGCTGGAGTTTGAGGTGAGGAAGAATTGCCTTGCCAACTGAACATGAGTCTTGGGAATCCTAAGACACCAGTGCGGGCAATTCAAGAGCCCCTGAAGACCTGGATTCTCACCCCGGTACCTACGTGTCAGAGAGAATGCGGATATTGTAAGTCCCACAGAAGACATTTCTCTCCTCCATCAGGACCTGCTGGGTCTCCTGGTTCTGGTATGCGGCCCACAGGTTGTAGTCACTCTAACAAAGGAACACATGGAGTCAAAGTACAGTGGCAACTTTACCCAGGGTCCCAGACAGGCATCCTCTAGAGTCTCCCCTGGCAAGGGCGCGAGGGCCCGTGGATTCCTTTTCAGGCTGTGGCTGCTGCTACGTGGTGATGGGGAGAGGCAAACGAGCAGGCACTAAACTAATCCATGAGTTAGAAAATATTGAGTCAAGGGTCCTAATTCTTCTTCTACCTCTTTTTATTTTCTACGTGTTCTGATTCCATGAACTTTCGAAGTTGCTGATAGCACAACTTTCCCAAAAATGAGTTCACAAAGGGTATGCTCACAAAATAAAGTCACAGGTGCCCGTTGACCGACCATTTCATGGAAGCCAGGGTTTCACATTTATACTGCGTATTCTTGACAGTACAAAGCATGCTCATGGGAACTCAAGCCATGTGTGAAATTACTGTTATACACTCTATCATTTATGCTTCAAAGTTTTCATACATCTGCAACCTTAATTTGTTCTTACAGCTGCCTCACAAAGTACATCATTTGCCCCACAAAGTATTCTCATCATTTTACAGATGAGGTATCTGAGCCTCAGAGAGGGGGCATCAGTTTCATCCAGTTCCAGCAGGGGTGCTTCTCTTTCTTTTCCAATTGTTCCTTTCCTCATTCCTTCTTTCTTTTCTTCCTTCCTTCCTCCGTCCCTCCCTCCCTCCTTCCCCACCTCTCTCCCTTCATCCCCCACTTTCTGAACAGCCATGGCTGTTAGCATGCCAGGCATGCTAAATTCAGGCATAGATGACTCAACTTGACACCCAGTTCCACTCTTCCTCCTAGCCATACTCTCCACCCTCAAATAGCAGGAATACCAATGACCCTAGCAGGAAACCAGAAAACAGGGTGGGTTTATCATGAAAGCAAAGAAGACCATAGCATTATGTTTGCATCTGGGAGTCCTCTGTGGGACATCGCTTCTTAAGTCTCCTTCCAAACCTTAGCCTTCTCTTCCACGCCTGTAGACTCTTCCTCAGGATGCCTGCTTTCCTCAGCTCACTCTCCTTCTTAATCTTTAAGCAAGTAGTGATATCCATCTAGAAGTCTCTCCCCAGAAAAATCTGTCAACCTGCTTCCCTTCCAGTGTCCAAGCAGCTTTGATATCCTGCCTTGAATTAAATGAGGCCTTCTTGGCTTCTCACGGCCCAGGATGGAATTCCTTGGCTCTTGCTCATCAACTAAGTTTTGAAAGCCTAGAAGCCACATGGCGGAGTCAGTGGGAGGACAAAGACCTGGGTTCAAATCCCAGCTCTGCCACTGACCAGCTGTCAGACCTTGGGCAAGTTTCTAACTTCATAGTCTTCATTTCCATACCCATAAACTGGGAGCAATGACATCTACCCAACTATAGTGCAGATCAGGTAAATGACGTAGACAAAGCTCTTGGCACAGTGGCCGGCACATTGTTGAGCTGATTGGAGAGTACCCATTGAGATCACCACCCCTCAGACGCACTCACCTCCACGTTTTCCTAGCAGACCCCTTGACTGCTCAGTCTCGCTGCTTCACTTGTTCTCTTCTGGTCTCCATACTGCTTTACCTGTTTCTCTCTTGTCTTAACTTACACATTTCTAAAATATGAAACACTGTCCGGGTAGCCCTTTTTTGTCAGGCGATTACTAGCTACATCACCTAAGGAAGAAGCGTGTTGGTCTTGTTATACTTAACAGAGTGACAGGCTTTGAAAAAGCGGGTCAGCGTTCAACTTGTATCTCTGTCACTCCACTGGCTGGGAGACCTGAAACTCTCTGTGCCTCAGTTTCTTCCTCTATAACATGAGTGAATGGGCCAACTCAAAAATTAAAATGGGCAGGTCAAATGAGGTCCACAAATGTGATTTCTTTGGCCCACATAGTTTCTAAAAATTCTTTTAATTTAAGAAAAGCATTTAAGAAAAGCAAGAGATGTCGCATGGTAATTCAGATTTCTATCTTCTCTTGAAAGCTCAGATGGTCTGGGAAGTTGAGGTCCACAGTCTCCCATGGCAATAATTAGCTGCAGCTGAGTAGCAACTGGCCCCTTCAGATGGGGAGTGAACTCTCGTACTCATCACGGTCCATTGTCCTTTACTGCTCACACCTCCTGCCTCCCTCATTTGTGTGACCTGTCTGACCTCTACAGACACATAAACTAGATGGTTTCTCTGGACGCTTCTGTTTCTCAGATTCTAATTTATACTGCACAGTTTCCTTTGGGGAAGCTTCAGTCTGACCACCCCTTGTTAAGTATCCTTTTTGGGCCCATTGACTAGATTTCAAAATAGAAGGCCCTTGAACAGAGAGGCGGGGGCAGGAATCTAATGGTTTTAGGAATTACCACCATTCCTAGACAGGCAGAACATAGAGCTCAGAGTCTTCCATCTGCTCTTCTCTTTTATTGCCCAAGATTTGGTAGGGACGTCTAAGGTTAAGTGACTCTCCCCTTCCATCCTAGAACCAGAATGAATCTGGAAGTGAGAGATGAGACAGTTCAATTCATTCTGGACTCTGGAAATTCTGGACCAGCCCTGGCTCTCCCCTCATGTCCTTCCTCTTCCTGAGCTGCAGACACTCACAGCCCCTAGATGCATGGATTGACAGGTGTCAAGGAAAATCCCAGCTATCACTGACATTGCTCCTGGCTCTGAGCTCTCCACTAGATGACTTGGTGCCATAGATATAGGACATGGCCATGGGATTTGAAGCAAGGAAGAACCCTGAGAGGACAACCAAATCAATCTACTCAATGAGGAATTTAAGGCTTAAAGAAAGGAAGTGACTTGCTTTGACTTGCTTAAGGACACCCAGCTCAGAACTCTGGTCTCCCTTAGGGGATGTCGGCTCCCATATCCTATATCCATATGCTATATCCTATATCCTCTTGTTTTCTATATCCTCACGTGAGGGCTGAGTCTAGACCTCAGCCTTCAATAGCCAATAAGAATGTGACACTGACAGTTACTTGCCCCGATGCCATCAGAACCCACCTTCGTTATCAGTTTCCATTTCTGATTTTTCATACGCATGTGCTTTCCATCATCTGCCACTTTAGGAACCGGGACAAAAAGCTTGTTGGCGTAATTAGGATCTATTCCCCTTGTGTAGGACCCCTGGGGAAAAAAATAACAGAAAATGGCTACTCTTGGTTCCTACTCTCCCAGAGGAGGGGAAAATCTAGTGCTTGGCAAGATCTGAAAGATGGGTGAGCTCTGGCTAAGGAAGGCCTAGGCCTGGCCAGTTAGGCCGGTAGTGTGTGCCGACTGGTTCAAGGAGGATACGGAATACCAGACCCCTGGAGCAAGACCAGCGAGAGATGGTTAGCAGCTGCCAGCTTTCCAGAGTATGGCCTCCTTCACAATGCCTGCTGCTTCTCATCTGTGTCACCTGTCTGCTGGGAAAAGCCAAGCCACCAAGAACCCATAATTTAGGGTTAGGGTGTAGGCAAGAAACAGAAGTAGAAATGCCAGAGATGGTTACTATTGGGGGGAAATTACATTTTAACCTAAAAACATACTTTGTGGCCTTGTAAACATCTGTGTACCATACGAGGCTGAGCCAGAAACATACTCATGGCTTTCTTATTGCAGAGGCTACAGTACAGCTCTCTGGGAAAAAATTCCCTGCTTGGTGAGATTTCGGAAAGGCTCTGCCTCCCTCTTCCTGAGAGGTTTCTATACATGTTGTCCCTGCTGGATGCACTGACAAGGGAGAGTAAGTGACAGTGGGTGATTAACGAGGAGTTCAGACAAAAAGGAAATGACTGCTGAAGCCTACACAGCAGCAAATGTGGAGCAGGAGGCCAGCTAAGGGTCTGCCGAGCAGACGGAAAGGCTCATGGTGAGGCCTCAACACGGAAGTGAGGCTGGTCTCCAGGTGGTCCCCTCCCAGACAGGAAATACCTGCAAGATGGCAATCTGGTTCTGAATGAATGTGTGCGTCGACAGGTCCATCTTGACCTGCTGTACCAGTGCGGCCCAGTGCTGGCTCACAGAGGCACACCTGTTCAGGGTGTTTTTATCCAGCATACCTGAAAAAAGGAGATGGACTTGGAAACCTCCAAACAGGGCCACAACGGGAGGTCTCTTAAGAAATCCCCCAGTCCAGCCCAGCATACTTAGAGTATACTTGGAGAGGTGGATGGGCAGGAGACGGATGAAGTCCCGGTATTTGCTGACCCCAGAAGACAGGCATCTGACAGCATCCAGGTCAACCAACAGATCGGAGGGGGCGCACCCTGCGTTGGGCATGTCTGCTTTTCTAGAAAACAGCCTATTCATCTCGGAAATACACTGGAGCGAACTATTCCATTCTCCTTCTAGAGCAAAGCCAGAAAAAGTTTCATGGTCGGGTTGTCTCTGTGCTAAGTCCAGACCAGGAGAAAGTCCTCACCAAAAGCTCTCCCCAAAAATAGAGCTCATCAGAGTCTACCCTTAGGCCACGTGGTTTTTGTCATTTCTTCTGCCAAAATGAAAGTAGAACCTCCCAAACCAAACATACAAGTACTTTTCAGCCTTCCCAGCTCAAAGAGATGTCTATAGTATCAAAGCCTGCCCTGCTTGGGGGAAATGGCATTGTGTCTGGAACTTCTTTTAAATACTACAACAAGAAAAACTTTTACACAATTTTTTGAAGGGGGAATGAATGAAATAGATTGGTAAATGTTGATAATTATTGAAGTTGGGTGATATTTATGTGGGTGGTTATTATAATGTTCTATCTTTTGAAATATAGAAATTTTTGAAATTTGAAATTTTCCATATAAAAAATGTTTTAGAATCTATCCTTTGTGTTTCCTGTAATTATTTCACATTTATGTCTTGCTTCAAAAACCAACTTAAGAAGGCCTTGAGTTCAGGCCCAAATTTCCCACTGCTTTTGTTTCCTTCTAAAGACTGACTCCAATGCTGCAAAAGTAGCCGCTGTTAAGTCAAATCCTAGAGGTGCCCACCGTGCCAGAGGTCAGGGCCCAGACCAGGGATTGTGGCCTGGGGCAGAGGGGGATTTCAAAGGGCACTGTTGATAGTTTCCTCCCTGATCTCTATTTTCAGGTGTCTCTCAGAGGCACCACGGTGGAGAGGTGGAAACACGGACTTTAGGGTCATACTGACTGATTTTAATCCTTGCTTCTTCCCCACCAGATGTGGGATTAAATGGGAGAATAAATTTCAGAGAACCCAACACACACTGTAGGTGCCAAATGAATGTTAGTTCCCCAGATCCGCCATCCTCGGAGGCTGTTGCCCTGCCAGCCCCTCCAACTCCATTTCCAATCTCTTACCTTTTGGCTTTCTTGCTACGAGCTGACTTACCAGTATTAGATGTGTCCCGCACCATATTTTCAGGCAAGTTTTCTTTTCCTGAAGCTTTGGACAAAGGGAAGGATATGTGCCTGGCTCTGATTCCCCGGTAGACACGCGAGGTCTTAGATCGGGGGTTGGAGTCTTTCTCAGGGAACAAAAATACATTGTTGGAGTCTTGATTGAGCCCTGGAAAACAAAAGACCAAGACAAGATTGCTCTGTAAGCAGGTGGGTGGAGGAGAAAGAGGTAGAGAGAAACGGTTTCATTTCTACTTGCTTCTTTAAATCTACACAAAATGGACCAGGCCGGTTATGTCTGTTTTTGTTTGGGGACTCCGAGTTTCTACACAAAGATCGCAGACAGCCCCCTGTTAGGTTTTGCCAGCCCACTTACAATGCAAAATTTATCAGAGCTTTATATACAAGGAGAGAGAGAGCGCAATGGGCAGGAGCCGGAAGAGAGACTGCTTCTCTGAAGCCCTTGCTTAATTGTCTTCAGCGATATGAATAACTGCCCTGAGTCAAATTAGAAAATTTAACTTTTTAAGAAAGAAGCTCCCCTAGGAAGAGGGGGAGGTCGCCACAAGCTGTACCTGGACTTACACATCTCCAGTATAGTTGGCTGATTCCTAGAGTGGGTGATGGAAGCCTGAGAAAAAGACTACAGAACACTGCGTGTGCACGTACATGCCGCGCCCACCGTAGTCTCCCGCCCCTGTTGAGGGGGTAGCACTACACAGTGGGAGATGCTCAGGGGGAGGCCTGCTCAGGAGAGGTCACATTGCTGGGTGACCTAGGCCAAGTCACTCCAATTCCCTGAATTGTGGCTGCCTTACTATAAAATTAAAGAGTTGGACTGGTTGCTCTCTGATCTAATTTACAGGATTCTCTGATTTTTTCCACCACTTCTTCATTCCAGAATATCGTTCTTTTACTTTCCTGACCCACCAAAGAAATCAAGTGGCATATATCAGGATCTACTGCCCCTAGGTCATCTAGCTTTAAAATTCTTTTGGATTCTATTAGCCTAAAATAGGACCACAAATCAGGTCTCAGGGACATTAGGAATTCCCCACCTTCAAGAGCTCCAACTCAAACTCATCCACCTGCCCGCTCCCTCCCAGCCCTCTCCCACCCCTCACTAACACTGTGCTTCCCCACACTGGACCTTCCACACCAGGACCCCTCTGTCATCTCCAGTCTCTTGCCACCCTTCTGGTTTCTTTTGCTTCTCTGATCCAGCTGGCAAAACACTTCCAAGATCTTCTCACCGACATCCTAGACCCATGGCTCTCAAAGTGAGGTCCCCAGACCAGCAACATCAGCATCAGCTGGGAACCTGTTAGAAATGCAGAATCTCAAGCCCACCTCAGACCTGCTGAGTCAGGAGCTCAGGAGGAGGACCCCAGCCCTCTGGGTTTTAATAAGCCCTCCTGGTGGTTCAGATACAATTGAAGTTTCAGAACTACCGCCCTAGCCCTATTCAACCCTTTCACTGTCTCCAGCCTTGGATAAACTCCAGTTCAAGGTTGGATTTTATGTACAAGCAAGGAATATGATGGAATGAGTGAAAAAAAAAGCCCTAAGTTCCAACCTCTTGGCATGGTTTCTGTGCAGTGCAAGCTGAAAGGTAAAACAATTCCATGGCTTCCCCTTACATCCCTCCCAAACCCAGTCCAATCTGCAACCCACGAATGTAGGAACCACACTAGCATTAAGATGCCCGGATCATTTCTGGGCCTAAGGGATGCAGAAATCCATTTTAAATGCCTGACAGTTAAAAGTTTTGCGCTACTTCTTTCTGCATTTGTGGTTTTATAATTTTCTAGAAGGAAGTCACATTCAGCAATTTCTCCTTTGGTAAACGGGATGAGGTGTCAGGACAAAGAACACTATCCTGCATTCTGGAAAATCCCCCTCTACTTAAGCTTGTCCATACCACTGGTTCCTTTACAGGCCCCTGAAGTCTGGCTTCCTGATCTTGGGGGGCCCTCTGCTCTCTACCTGTAGCCTTGTTTACCTGAGATGTTGCTCTGCTTTCTCAGAACCAGGGCCCTGAGGACATCAGCCGCGGTGAGCAGTAACTTGGGGTTACACATCTGAAGCAGCAAAAGTGTGTAATTTGCCTTAGTCCGGTGGGTGCTGTTCCTAAACCAGTACAAAATCTCCCTCATCTTCTGTTCTGCTGTTCTATCCAACATTTGTTTCAAGGAGGACTTCACGATTTTTCCCTCCTCCTTGCTGAGGTTGATCCGGCACCTGTTATAGATGAAATCCTTCCCCTGTGTGGCCTGAAGGATATTTTGAAAATAGTGTAACAAATATAAGCTATCCAACTGATCAAGGGTGCTAACTAGAAACCTCCGCTGGGATATCTCGCCGACCCTTTGGAACCACTCTTTGGTAGAGAGGATTTTCCAAGCCAAGATACACGTTTCACACTTCTGGCACATGGGGACAAAATCACTTCCCCTCTCACAACGAAAATAGGGGGCGTTCTTGAGCCTGATTCCAGGTTTTCCATGATCCTGAGACGCCCAGCTCATTTTATCCTTGTCTGTCGTCAACTCCACCAAACTCCAGAGGAGCAAAAACTGATGAATATCCCAACTGAGCCTTTTCTATTAGAAACATCTCCCGAGGAAAAAGTAAACCGTCGCAATGAATAGAAAGCTTATCTCTCCCAGAAACTGCCGGTAGAAGTCTGACTTTTTGAACTGACCTTCTAGGAAACATGGCTTTACCGTAAATCTCCTAAACCTAGCACTGCTAACGTGGAGGCGGTTGCTGTATATTCTGAAAGAGCTGGTCATCTCATTTGTAGAACAACAAGAATAGTGTTAGGTAAATTTAAGTAATATATGGGCCCCTTCTAAAGGAAAAAAAAATGTTGTGAAGCCTGATGTTGAGCTTCAATTGTTGTCGTCATTAACGACTTTCAGTTTTCACGAACATATAATTAGATGTAAACTTCTCATGCTTATAGCTTTTTGGTTATAAGGTGGCTATCCCAATGATCCTGAATATGTTTATATTGGTTTTCTTAACTCATCATAAAAGTAAAGACACAAATGTTTAATATAAATTTATTTAACTGCTTCAGAATGCTAACCAGAAACCTCTGCAGGAAACTACTCCTTAGTGGAAAAAATTTCACTAGGCCTGAGAATATATTTGGGGACTTCCAACCTCCATCACATGCCCACCCATGTGTGGGAGGCAGTACGCTTAGCAGTGAAGAGTGTGGGGTCGGGGTCAGACTCCTGGGTTTGGACCCCGGCCCAGCTGCTTACTAGCTCTGTGGACACAGGCACATTGCTTAGTCCTCTACGCTTCAGTGTCCTCATCTGTAAAATGGAGACATAGTTCCTATTTCATAGAGTCGTTGTGGGGATTAAATGAGATATTTTATGCAAAACACTTAGAAGATTGCCTGGCACATATTTAGCCCTGAATAAATGCTAACCGTTGCCCTATTGTTGTCATCATCACAATTGTCATTAGGATCATTGTTCTGGGTGGCCAAACAACGTCCACTACAATGTTTATATGTGTATACTTACATACACCGAGATGCATATAAAAAAATAATGAAGGGTGTATGCGCATAGTTTTTAAAAGAAAAATGACATGAAAATGACTTACCTATTTCACGAGGTCTTTACCAGTTAGCCCTGGCTTATGGCCCATTCAGGAGTAATGACTTGGGCCATGAGAGCCAAGCCTGTGAGTGCATAAGGCCCCTAGGGGTCCCAACCAGAAGCCTTCTGCTGCCGGTTATGGCCAGAAAGAGACAGGGGCTCACTGGGCTTCTCCAACAGTTTTAATGGCGAAATCCTGTTTGCAAATCACATCTTCTGTAAAATCTCGTTATGTAACATAGACAAAAGTGATATTATATTAATACAAATTTTTAAGTTCAAAACTTTGCTTGCTAGCAAGGCAATTATTGAGAACAATGGGGCTATTCTGATGAAGACAAAACCTTTAAACCTGAAGTTAAAGATGACATATATTGTCTTATATCAGCTTCAAAATCCACAAAATTTAAATTAGCAGCTGCTCCAGGAACCTAGAGTGCACAAAAAACAGTTTGAAAAATCACTATTATGTGCTGACATATTCAGGATGATCGTCTGCAAATAATTCTCAAAAGGCTCCACCAAAAAAATACACACACACACACAAAACACACATATACTGTGTGTCTGTATATATATACAGACAGAGAGAGAAAGAGCAAATGTAACAAAAAGTTAATCATCGGTGAATGTGGGTAAAGAGTATCTGAGTGTTCATTGTTCTATTCTTTCAGCTTTTCATAGGTTTGAAATTTTTCAAAATAACTCATAAGGATATACCGCTAAGTTGGAAAAAATTATTGTAAAAGACTACTTCCTAACAATAGCCACCCAGCTTGCCACTGCAGCCAAAATGCCCTTGGAAATGTCGGGTAGCCCCAAAAAGAGTTTCGAAGGCACGCTGAGACAATTCTACATCAGACAAGATGAGGTTCAAACATTGATTCTGGTACTTAGGAGCTGTATGATCTTGAGTAAGCTCCCCGGCCTCTGAGCCTCGGTGTCTCCACCTCACGGAGGAGGATTGTTGAGATGAAGGCAGGTAATAAAAATTATAGCTACCTTCTAGGATTAGACCACACGTGTGAGACCAGTTGTCACTGCTATTGTTGTTGTTGTTGCCCTAGATTAAACCAAAAGGTTTGTAGTACCGTGAACGCTTCTAGTGCCCACGTCTGGAGACCTAGCACAGTTAGAGAAAGGAGCTAGAAACCGTCGCTGGGGTTGGTCAGCAATGGCAGTCTCCCACAAGGGTCAGGTGGGGACGGGAATCAGGCTGGGAAGGAGAGCAGTTGTAACAGCTTGGCCTCCTCTATCTGAAGAGCTTTCTAGAGTAGCATCTAATCAGGAAGGCCAGACAAAGGCTGGTGGTCAGGAGGAGGGAGGCCCAAAGTGCTTGCGTATCTAAGTGGGGACACATTACCCCCAGAAGTGCTACCAACTAAAAGTAGCTTGTTTTTAAAGGTCCAAATAAATTAGGATTTTAATCTGTGAGACTGACACCCATCAAGGAAGCAGTTTTACTCACCCAACTCAGCCTTTATTCCCCACTTGAGGGCGGACTGTGGCCCAGTGGAGGGGCACAGACTTGGGAGTCAGAGACTAGCTGGAATCCCATCGCTGTTTCTAACTAGCAATGTGGCCTTGGACAAGCTACTCAAGCCTCTCTGAACCCCCATTTCCTTATCTACAGAAGACACATGATAATCCCTACCCTGCAGGGTGTCATAGTGTGATGATTATGTTAATTAACGTGGGTGAGTATGGTAGTTAATTCTGCGGCCTCTCCATTCCATTCACCACTACTGCATGCAAATGCGTGTGCGCACACACACAGCATCTCACTCGGCTCAGGCAGGGAAGTTGGAGCCATTTGGGATCTGGTGTCGGAGTTCAGAAAGTGGCCTTGGAGGAGGGCAGGACGAGATGACCAGATGGGATAAGCCAGTGGTGGGGAAGTGGCGCTGGTGGTAGCCGAAGAGGAGGGAGGGCAAATGGGTCCCATGAGAGCAAGACCCAGGAGAGGAAAACATTTCTCCAAGGAAGGCTCTGGGGCTGAGGAGTACATCTGGAGCTTCTCAGATATCCAGGCCACCAGCAGCCTGAAGGCTTCACGCCGCTCCCCGAGCTTTCCTTTCTGCCCTGTATTATCCTGTTTCGTTCATGATTCTGATTCAACCCTCTTCCCATACCGCCCCCAATCTCCACGTCCTTTTCCCGCCCTCCCACACGGTACAGAGAACCCCAGAAGGGGCGGCTGCTGCTTCACCCCCACCCGGCCCTGCTGTCCCGCCTGACGTGGCACCTGAGGTTTGGCTGGTTCCCACCATAGCCACCTGCCCTGGCTCAGCCAGCAGGAGGTCAGGAAAGGGCTCAGCTTCTGGAGCAGGAGGGTGTGGAAAGAAGCGGGCTCTGCTGCAGAGCAGGCACCTGCCCCTGGATAAGGCACCTGCCGCTCTCGGTCTGCTCCCCTTCTGTAAAATGAAGATCATAATTCCACCTAGCTCACAGGTGGCTGTTGGGGCCAAATGAATGGATGTATTTGAAAAGGCATTTTATAACGTGTGAAGAGCTGTACAAGTATTGCTATCATTAGGGAAAGTGGGAAAACTGTCATGTTTTATCCATCACCTTCCCATCATGTGGAATTACACTTGTTGGCAAAGTTAAATGAGAAAAGTCTTTGTTCACGAGAAATCCATGAGTTTCCAGGTTGCCAGTTTGCTCTTTGGCTTTAAAAGTAGCAGATGGGGAAGCAAGGGCATTGGCTAGAAATGCTTTATTCTCCAGAAGGGGGAGAACCAGGAGAGCACAGAAAAATTCTAAACCTAGCTGAAACAGCTGAATCCCCAAGGAGACAGAATACTCCTGTGGTGGCCAAAACATCTTCCTGCTTGTACTAACACTCGCAGGCACTTGCTATTGGTAGTTGAAGAACAGATCAGGTTAAAGAGAACAGATAGGTGTCAACCAGCCATTCTCAAACCTCAGTGTGCGTCAGAATCCCCTGGAGGCCTTGTTAAGGCAGGTCATTGGGCCTGCCCCCAGAGTTTCTGATTCAAGAGGCCTAGGCTTAGGCCTGGGAATCTGCATTACTGATGAGCGGCGCTGTTGCTGCTGCTCAGGAAAGCACACTTCCAGAACGCCGACGACGTAAGCCGTGCTCTTGTCTCACCATCTGTGAACATAACTCCATTTTAGAAATAAACACGAATATTTAACTCTTTCAAAACTTATTATTTAGTGTCCTTGACCAAGTAACTTAACCCCTCTGAGCCGCCAGTTTTTCATCTTTGTTCCATGAACTAGGGAAACTACTGTCCATCCCACAGGACTGCAAAGATGAAATGAGACAAGAAATGGTACTCAAAATGCTAAAGCCCTTTCTACTTCTCATCAATCTTAAAAAATGTAAGCTTTAGAGAGGAACCCGAGGACCTCAGCTAATTTGGCAGCCAGAGGGGGATTTGAAGACAGAGAGAGGACCCAGAACCGCCAATACGTCTGACCAGCTGAATGCTAGTCTACGTTCTTATTCGTGCTCAGGGAGTTACCAGAGATAGTGAAGACTTCTGTGTGACTGTTGTCTGGTTTATTTTTAGATAGGTCCTAAAAATTCTGCTACAGTAGCTCTAGTAGCTTTTTGTAGTCTCTAACTATGCATTTATCATTGATGAACACATGATGTGTTAAGGGTGCAAAAAGTGATCACCGATGTTCTGTGAATAAGAAGAGGCCCAGGTTTCAGGGCTGGATGCACTCGGAGAGACACATGGGGAGTGTCGTGCGCCCCACTTTATGGATGGGGAAAATGAGGCCCAGAATGATCAAGTGAGATAGCCACATACCACTGGTAGAATGCCCACATTGAAGGCTGCAGTGATGGAAAGCAGAGTGACAAACAGTACGTTCCAGGGACGCGGGACTCGGTGGTCTGGGGTGAAGCTGGATATTCACTTCCCTGAGGTGGGGAGCAAGAAGCCCTGAGTCCTAGAGGCCAGCTTGAGAAGCAGGTTAAGAACAGCATAAGTCGAAGAAATGAGAAAGGAAAGAGAAAAGAGAGAGAGAGAGGGTGGTAGAAGAGAAGGTGGAGACAAAATGAGAAAAAAGAAGAAGAGAAATGTCCTCCCCGCAGCTGTGTCCCCATCCCTCCAAATGCGACACAGAATGGGATCCCGGCCCTGACCCGTTTAGCCGTGGCTACCGAGGTAAGCACAGAATTTATTTGACAATAAGAAAAAGGAAAACTAAATTGAAGGAAAGATGAGAATGATGAAATGCACAAAATTGCTGAATGGAAACACCAGTCGCTCAAGAGTAAGCAAAATTACTAATAAGCAGACCTCATACTTTTTGGGTTATTGTTCCACTCTAAATTTATTTAACCAACTAATATAACAAATAAGCTGGTTGCACAGAACCAGGCATCCTAGTCTTCCCCCAGAGAAAGCTGGGTAAAACAGACCAGGAGCCCGCCTCCGCGTGGACTGCTGCACCCAGGACTGCTACGGCAATCCCCACCTCCCACCACACCTGCCACCCTACCTGGGCTCCTCTGGGGCCTGCCTGTACTTCCAGCAGGGAAGGCCCATATGCCAGGGCAGGCTTAGCAACCTGATACACAAGTCCAGCACACTGCCTTAGTATCACAGCACAAAGCCTGTAGCATCCCGGGGGAAATAAAATTTCATTTCAAAGTGAAGCTTTAAACTGACTGAACTGAAGACGGAGAAGAAGGAGGAGTGGGAGGAAGAGGGGAGGGGCTGAGAGGCATGGCTGGGACAGAAGAAAGGATGACAAGAGTTTTTATGTGAGCTTCTGGAGAGCACATTATAATTTGAAAAGGCTGAGAACACTGAATTGCTATTAGCTCCAAGCGGCTGAGATAGTATAAGGGGTTAATTACAGTTGGACTGCACAGCTTGGTAGGGTTCTTGAAGATTATATTTTTTGTATGAGAGACACACGCATATATATACACACATACCTCTTTTCAGGTAATCATCAGGGTTGCCACATAAGTTATTAATTTGGAGGAAAAGATTTTAACCTCAAATGACCGAGCACTGCTATGCCGACCCTCAGTCTTTGTTAGATGAGCTGTTCCACCTCTTCTATTCCACTACCTGGCCTCCTTCCCTTGGGGGAAGGAGGATGGAATTTTCTCAACAAGACTACAGAGCAAACCAGAAATAGTGATAAAGACTGAGCATATCCCAGCAAAGCCTGGTTGTCCAGTCACTCCACCTGAGCCATACACAGTGTATGTCCTGCATGTGGACATCAGATACGGTACAGGGAGCCTCCCTGCAAGGGCCTCCTGCCCCCCTACGATGTCTCATCACGGGTGTGGAGGGAGCTAGAAGAACCTGGAAATGTGCACACTACCTTTCCTTCCAGCTTCTGTCTGAGGCTAATGGGGCTGGTGTGGGAGCCCCTGGAGTGAGGGCAACGGGTAGTAGAGATGAGGAGCAATGGGGAGGAGGTCAGTCAATGACACATACAGAACTGTCACTGAAGGTGGCCCGAGAAAATGTTCAATTAGAAGCAGGGCACCAAGACGTGGAAAAGATGAATGCATTCCATATATGGCCTTGTGGGGAGAGAGGGAGAATCCCCCTCTGCCCTTTTCCTTAAGGTTCTTATGGCTGGCCAAATAATCAATAAGACAGGTTAGCAGGAGAAAATAATACTAAGTTTAATAACATGTATACATGGGAGAAACTCAGAAATGAGCAACTCGTCCCTCTGTCTAAGCTGCTTGCTTAAGTATTGCAGCTAAAGACGAGGAAGGTGTTGGGGGTGGGTAGTGGTCTGGGACTTCAGAGGGCAAGAAGACAATTCTTTTCAGGGTCATCTATAGATAATGTGGTTGGGGAGAGACAGAGTTTTTTGATAAAAGGGGCTTGGTGCCCCTCCCATTGTAACATCTATTTTACATTATCATTACAGCCATCATGATAGAAGATCTGTTCCAGGAAGGAGCCACCATGTCAAATTCTTTAGGCAGTTAGTGGGTGAGGTCAAGTGTCCCTCAGAGAAAACAATCAAGGTAAAGAGATATATTTCAGGGTGGCCAAATCTTCATCTCCCACAGCCTCATCTATTATTGTCTTGAATAGTAGATTCATATTTAGCTCTTCACATATGAACACTTTTCACTTCAATTTACATCAACTTCTTGTGATCAAGAGACACAGCTAGTTATCTCCTGGGTTACTCTGTCTTAGTACCTAGCACACTGGCTTGCATGTTATAAATGCCACACACGTTGAATCAATTTGATTTGAGGACAGTCATTCCAAAAACAGGATGAACCACACTGAAGAGATGAGGGCTCCATGATTGGGCCGGTATTCACGTCTCCTCATTTCATCACAAATCTTGGGAGAATGTGGGAATTTACTCAGAATTCATAGGATTCCTAGAAGAGAATGTCATATGCCCTGGGATTTCAAAAAGTTGAGACAAGAATAAATTATGTCATGGCTAAAATTACACTCTGACTCTACATTTACAAGTGGTCTAGTAATGGAACAAAAGAGTCTGGCACCAAAAGGAGCTCTTGATGAGTTCAGACTTTATTTTTGTTTTTCAAAATGAGTCTACACGATGGAAGAGGAAGTAAAGGTGGGTAAACACAGAAGAGTGACACGCACAGCTTAGGGGAAGTGACAGAGAACAGAAAATAGGCCTTTATTTATTTATTTTTAATTTATCTATTTGTTTGTTTTAGGCAATTTTCAGTTTGGGAACCAAGAAAAAGAAAAAAAGATGTGCCTATCGCTTGAGGCAATGACAGAAAGAAAGCAAACATCCCTAACTCTCAATTTTGCTTTGCTCTTTTATATCCAGAAGGAAGGTCTTGAAACTGAAAACAAATGGACAAGAAGAGCTGACACGGAAATGAAGTTCAAGACAGGTAAGGAGACACCCAAAGGGCTCCTTTTACATGAGTTAAGTATTCTGGCCTAAACAAGTTACATCTCACAACGCCAACACAATTCACCAATGAGACTGAAGTCCAGGTAGTAATCTTTGAGAAATTAGGGAGAACGGCAGAGACTGAGGACAGGCACAATTGTCTCGATTTTTAAAAGAAAAATAAGGTAGCTTCTGGAAACAATAGACTAGTCAACTCACTGTGTACCCACAGCAGAATTCTAAAATGATTTATCAAATATTTTGTGAGCATTTAGAAAAGAAAGTAGCAAGCATGAACGACCCACAGGGGTTCAATAAAAACAAGGCAGGCCAAACTGACCTCAGTTTCTCTTTTGAGAGCATTGTTAGGAAGAGGAAGGAAAAGCAGACATAGCGTACTTGATCTCTGCCACCGAAAAGTCCTTTGTCACATCCAGTGGATAAAGTGGAAGACGTGGGCTACATCATTGTACAGTTCTACCGATGCATAACTTAGTAACTAAACCCAAAGGGTATGGACTGAGAGCTGCAAGAGTCTGTATTTGGCCCTACGCTAATCAATATACGTATCACCAAGGTTAAGACTTAAGAAGAAAAGGTTACCAATTCTGTAGGTGACACTAGGCTGGGAAGGAGAGCTAATACACTGGACATAGAATCATGAGTCAAAACAATCTCAGCAAGCAGCAATGATGTGATGAAATTAAAAATTCAAATAAAAAATACATTCAATAAAATTCAAATTATAAAATTAAAAAAATTTTTAATTAAAAAATGCAAATCCTACACTGCATAAGTCCTCAGATACAAATACAGGACATGGGCTCTGGAAACAAGTGGAGTGACGCTGAAGTAATGTACTCCTGAGACAGGCCCATCAGACTGGTCCAAGAGGAAGAGACTAGCCTTGACACAGGTCACAGGAAAAGACCCTGAGTTACATTTCTGGTGAAGCCCGACTTCAGGTTATGTCCTCAGAGACAGTTTGTCATTTGCCTAAAGGCTTGATGAATAGTGACCGATAATCTTAGGGAGCGCATCTGCTGAGAGGAGGTTGAAATGATGAGAGGACTGAAAGGTCTGGAAACCATGAAGGAAAGTGGGAGATGGAGTGTGAAAACAAGAATACCTCCCGGGAGGACATGCGCGAGAATGCCTTTAAATATCTGAAGAACTGTCCTTTGAATGAGAAATTGGGCAAGTCCACATAGTCCAGGTGACTTCGGTAGAGAGGAATGAGACCCTCCCCAGAGGTCACAGGGACTAAGACTTGGACTCCACTAAGACATTTTTTATAATCCTCTCTGTCCAAACACAGGATGAGGTGCTGTGTGAGGTAGTGAGCTCTCTGCACTGCACGGCTGCATGGCCCAGTCAGACGTGGGGCATGCAAAGAGATTGAGCGTTTAAGACACTCAGTTTCCATACCATGTAGTTCATCATGTAGTTTATTCCCTTACACACAACACCCATGGTCTAATGAGGAAGGCAGCATGGAGTGTGGTTAAAAGCCCGGTGTCCGCCTGCTCACGTTTGAATCCCAGCTCTGCCACTCACTCACCGTGTGACCACAATGACTTTGAGCAAGTTAACTAACCCCGCTGGAACACCATTTCCCCATCTGCAAAATGGGGATGATATGAGCATCTACTCCACGGGGCTGCTGTGAGGGTTGAGTCAATGCACAGGAAGCACTCAGATCAGTATCTGGGACGTAGGAAATGCACAATCAAGTTAGCAATTTACTATGACTACTCGGCAATCTTTCTGATCGCTCCAAAGATTCCTGGTGCCAATTCTGGGCACAGTGTGATGTTCACCTGAGCAGACAGGAGACTATCACTCGACGATGATGAAGGGGACTCAGGCACCTGAGGATTACCACAGACATATGGAGAACAGCGCAGCATGGAGCAAAAGGGAGAAGGCTCATGCAGGGACCACATGATTTCTAAAGCCAGCCACCACTGGCAGAGATCTCTGCCTCCAAGTCACCCTTAAAATCCAGGCTGCTGCCCCATCTTCGTGGTTGGCAAAAGTCTAGGATATAGAGCCTGGGGTCTAGGCAGCAGCCTCCACTGAAGTCAGCGCTGGCTTCTCAGGTTCCTCTCCCAGATCCACAATCCAGATGGAGTTTTCCTTCTTGGAAAGCCAGAAGGCAGGGTAGACCGGCTCTGAAAACTTGCACTCAAACTTGTGAACCAGAGTCATGGCGTCAGGCTCTACGCCATAGAAGGAAAGGACCCCTCCCGGGAAGTCAACATAGATCCCCAGCCTCCGGAAAGGGCTGGCTTTGAGCGGGGTCTCCGTGTCGCTGTGCCAGGCCGTGAACTCCTTCCCATTCCAATGGAGGCTCCAGGAGAAGTTGTTTCCAGAAATGCAACTGTTACGCTCCTCCCCTTTCCGGTCGATGCCCTTGCAGGTCAGGCCAACGTAGGTGCCGGCCCCGGAGATCTCTACCTCAAAATAGTACCTGTGCAGGTACAGGCTCTGCTGGGACAGCACCTGCCGCCAGTGCACGAACCTGCTCGGGAGGTCCGGGTACGGGTGCTCCCAGGGTGTGGTGTTGGTGACCTTGCGATTGTCCTCCTGCAGCCGGAGATACCTGTGTGCCGTGTCGGGGTCCAAGGTGAGGTCACACGCATCTGAGGAGATACAGAAGGCAAGGAGAGTAGGTCAGGAACGAACACCTGATTCAGACAGGATGCTTCAAACCTGGCCAGCCTCCAAAGTAGGAGAAAACATCCATCTCCTGTTCTCTGTGTACCCAGGCTACTGTTCCCCTGGGAAAGACGTGGGTGAAAACCAGAAGTCAGAGAAAACAAGTGTGATATTGTGATTTATGATAAGAAATATATATTGGTCTCTGCCCCCGGTTCCCGGCGCCGAGCTCCTAAAACTCTGGTAATTTCTTAAGTGATAAGAGTACTAGGAACATCTTTTGTTCCAATATTTGGTCTCTGCCCCCCAGTTCCTGACACAGAGCTCCTAAAACTCTTGTAATTTCCTAAGTGATAAGAGTACTAGGAACATCTTTTGTTTCAATATTTGGTCTCTACCCCCCAGTTCCTGACACAGAGCTCCTGAAACACTTGTAATTTCCCAGGTGATAGGAGTGTCTTTTGTTCTAATGAGGTGACTCCTAGATGGCTCCTGAATGGGTGCTGGTCACCAGAAAGACCAAGCCATGATTGGAAGCTTGGAATTGTCGGCCCCACCACCCATCCTCCAGAGAGGGGAGGGGGGCTAGAAATGGAGTTAATGACCGATCATGCCCACGTGAGGAGGCAGGAGTTTCAGAGAGGAATTTCAGCGAGATTCCAGGTGGGCCAACACATCCACACGAGGAGGGTGACACACCCCAAACTCCGCAGGGACAGAAGCTCCTGTGCTCGGGACCCTCCCAGACCTCGCCTTGTGTATCTCTTCATCTGGCTGTTCATCTGTATCCTTTATTGTCTCCTTTAATGAACTAGTAAACACAAATATTTCTATGAGTTCTGGGAGCTGCTCTAGAAAATTAATTGAACCTGAGGAGGGGGTCGTGGGAACCTCCAATTTGTAACCAAATTGTACAGAAGTTGTGGGGGACCTGGGGACCTACTACTTGCAAAAGGTATCTGAAGTGGGGGCAGTCTTGTGGGGCTGAGCCCTTAACCTGTGGGGTCTGACCTATCCCCAGGTAGATAGTGTCAGATTGAGTTAAATTGTAGAACACCTGGCTGGGGTCACAGAGAATTGCTTGGTGGGGGAAACCCACACACACAAGTTGTAAGTGGTCTCAGACTCATTTTAACAAGTCACTCCACTTCCTTCCTTTCTGAAGATCAAATTACTTGGCATTTGTTGAACTGAATCAAGAAATAAAATCCACTGATTCACTCATTCATTCATACAACAAATATGTACTGGAAGCCAGGCACTACTCTACCCCGTGTTGGCAAGGGTCTGGGGAAATAGGCAGTCATATACCCACATTTGATTCATTCATTGTTTTTTTTTTTTTTTTTTTTTAATATTTGACCAATATTTAGCATGTTGAACTCTCAAACTGTCCCCTACACATATTCTCTCCCCAGGCCCAGAGATTAATAGCACCTCCACGCACCCAGTTGCTTAAGGCACACTAAAGTTATTTTTGACATTTCTTTGCCCTCATCCTCACCCCCTGACTTGTCCTTCCCCCCTACACACAGACAGCAACAAGCCCTGGAGATCCACCCACTTCTCTCCAGCCCACTGCTTCATCTACACCACCACAAAATCTCGCCGAATAGTGCAATAGGCTCCTTGCAGGTCGTGTTGCCCCTCTCGCCCCGCTTCCATACCTTCTCCATGACAGAGCCATGGTGCTTATTTCAAGGTGTGGGCTAAGGTGAATCATGTCACCCCAGCTTAAAGCCCTTCGATGGTGCCCCTTGCTCGCAGGATAAAGCAGTGACCCCTCACCCCGGCCTGCATGACTGGCCCTTCCCTGTGTCTCCAGCCTCATCTCCTGCCCTCTCTCCCTTGATCGCCACACTCCAGCCACTCTGACCTCAGACCACTTCAGGGCTTTAGCACAGACACACTCCACGACGTGATCATGACCCTAACCTGATTCTGGGGGATTCCTACTGATCTTTCAGCCTGCGGCTGGGAGCTCATGTCCTCAGAGAGGCCCTCCATGACTCCCTGATCTGAATCAGACACCTGCCCATCACTGCCTCTCAGAGCACCCGGCTCTGTAACCTTCCTGGTACTCATCACCATGGTAACAATCTATGTAGTTGTGTGTTTGTGTCATGCCTGTCCTCCTTCTGTTCTATAAGCTCCACATTTTATGTGGGACTCTATCCTGGGGTTCTAGCTCAGAGAAGATGAGCAGTATACACTTGCCAAATTAATTAGCATATTAAAGGCTATTTAAAAATCCATTAATTTAAACAAGTATCTTATTTTAACCCAGAGTTTTCCAAACTCCTTTGGTAAGAGAACTTCTTAGTAGTTGATGAGGCCACATCCTGGAAGAAAAGAAGGACACAATAATCCAAGAAGTTTAAAGGAAAAATGAGGGTGAACTGAGGGCCATCAAGGGCAGATAGTCTGCAGCTCCGTTACCAAGTGGCCCCAACAGCAGCAGAGGCGCTTCAGCCACCCCCGCCGCCTTGGGCCATCCTCAGCATGCAGATATCGAGCAGTAACATTCTTCTCATCTAAGGGGACCCAGGACACCTAGGAAGATAGGTGATTCTATGTCTTGGGACAAGAAAACTAGAATGAGTCTGGAACATTCTGTTAGTGCCAGAAAGCAATGATACTTTTAAGGATGTCAAGGGCAGAATGTCAATGCTTAAAGGAGAAAGAGGCCAGCTTACAAGTGGCTCCCACTGGTCAAGCTGGCAATTTGACCCGCAGAACTTTGACCAGTGAAACAATCTGAGTCTAGAAAAGGCTGAAAGTTTATAACAATATTCAAAGAGAAAAAGTTAATATAGTGTGTGAAAAAACACATTTGTAACGCAAAAGAAGATAGCTTATCATGGATAGAGTTTTGGGACCCCTCTCCCTGGTCTAACAGGCGAATCTAACAAGCAAACTGCAAAGGCTTTAAGTCAGCACAATAAAATCCATGCTGTACTGTGAAGCAGCCGTACGTCCAAATGACCTTGCAACCCCACACCTGAAGCCAGCTGGACAGATCCACAACAGAAAGAGATCAAGGATACCTTGCTCTCACGTTTCCCAGCTGCATTTCTTAGAGATTGAAGGAATAATTAATGACCCTGGTCCTTGCCTCCCTCCATACCTAGCTAACATCAGCATCTCTGAACTTGTTTGATGTATAACCAAGGAATTCTTGTTTATGTTACCTTCAGTGTATAGAGAAAAGCCCCGATGTACTCTATCCCTCTTTTTTTTGACATATATGAAATCTTGCTGTAAGTTTTTTTTCTCTTCCTCTTCCCTGCACATGCACTGTTTTGTGAAAGAGACATAAGCTGCACTTAAACTCACACCCCTCGGAGCAGTTCCATCAGAGCGCTCTGCTGAACTGTTTTCCCGGGGTTTGAACTCCTCATGCTGATGACTGAATAAACTCCTTTCACTAATATCACCTAGATTCTATTTCAGTTGACATTATAATAGGATCTGTTTCATTTTTATTTTAATGTTAAGAATAAAGGGTGTTTGACTTCTTGTATTAATTATATCTGTTTGTAAAATAGAAATGTACTTCTGTCAGGAAGCAGGAAAGAATAAATAAAAGAAACTGTGTGGAAGCCAAGAGGTCCTGGGAAGAAGTAGGAGCCGTGGCAAGAACAGGAGACAGTCCTCGGAACCTGAGGCTCCACGTAACAACCAGAGAAAAAGGGGTCCAGGAGTTAGTCAGCCAGTGGCCACTCCAGAAAACAAGCAGAAGCAGGGTTTGATGGCATGTTCCAAAAATGTCATAAAAATGAGCCTTGACTACACAGATGCAGTCCTTCCTCTGCTAGGAGTTGAAACTGCACCAGCTTGTTAACCACATGAAGTGCTGCTTGGAAATACTAACAGACCAGAATGCTAACAGACCAGAACAATTCCACATAAGGACAGGACAATGGGTTATGCAATTCTAGCCAAGTCAGACTTAAAAGGGAACCATTTGGTAACTAGCCAGGATCTTCAAAAGTCATGAAGGTCATGAAGGACAAGGAAAGACGAAGGGACTGGACCCAGGTTGGAGGAGACCAAGGAGACATGGAAACATCTGTGATCCTGGCTCGGACTTTGGGACATTGGTTGGAACACTTGGTGACACTTGAATAAATTCTGTAGATTAGTTCATAGCATTGTAACAATGTTCATTTCCTGGTTTTGATCAACGTACTGTAGTTATGTAACATGTTAATGTTTGGAGAAGCTGGATGAAAGGTATACGGGAATTCTCCTGTTTTTGCAACGTTTTTGTAAGTTTGAAATGGTTTCAAAATGAAAAGTTAAAAAAACAAAAAAATTAAATTCTAAAAAATGTACCATTTAGCGATAGACCCGAGGTTGCAAGAACTTGAAACCCATGGGAGAGATGGCGTTCTTGCTTCAGCAAAACATTCCACTGACTGCAGTAACTGGGGAAGGGGGAGCGGTTCACAACTTACATTGGAGGAACTGTTGCCTGGTGCTGGGATCAGGTTTTGAGAGCCGATATTTGCGCTCAACAACAGCAGACACTTGAGTTCTGATGTCATACTCCTCTAGAAAATCAAAGAGTTGTGAATGCACACCTGTCCAGGAGGTCAGGAGAACCTAAGAGGCAGGACTTCCCAGCTACTCTTCCTTGGGTTTGGAGAAAGCAGGGGCTGAAGCCTAGCCACATCTCAGAGAACCACACTCAATGGACCACATTGCTCTCCTGGATGAAGCAAAATATGCTGGAAAGAGATCCCAGACTGACTTGGATTTCACTCAAAAGTACAGGCATTAGCAACCTCAGAAACTAGTCATAGAAAGGCCAGCCAACTGCATGATGTGACTAACTCACCTTCTGTGAGTAAAATAAAGTCATCAAGACAAGTGTCCATCAGTAACACGGTCTAGCCAAAGGATGCCCTTGAAAATGAGATACTCCCCCTGATTTGGTCCTCCCTCCCCTGGCGCTCTCTCGCCTTCCCCATCACCCACTGAGATACCACATACCAGAGCCTACAGCCCAGAAAGATCCTCACCTTCCTTGGCGAACTCCTGGAGCTTTTCCTTGTAGTTCTGCAGCAACTGGATTAAGTGCACGGTGGAGTCCGTGATGACCTTGCGGATGCCTGAGAGCTTATCCTTGAGTCCTATGTAAACACTAGGGAAGGCACTGTCCTCAGTGTTCCTGAACTTGCAGTACTCCTGCAGGAAAGGCACATGGCAAAACTTGCCTTGGCTTCTGTGTTTCTTACCTAGGCTGCCCTCCTCATTATGTCACATTCTGCACCTGTACAAGGGGTTGAGGGTAATGTGCACTTCACAGAGAAAGATGGTAATGTGAGCATCCAGCTCAGGGTCTAACAACATAGAAAGTATTTATTTTTTAAACTGGGAAAGTGGGCTTTTGAAAATCAAAAGATACTAGGGGCCGGCCTGGTGGAGTAGTGGTTAAGTTCACACACTCCACTTCGGCGAACCAGGGTTCACAGGTTCGGATCCCGGGTGCGGACCTACACACTGCTTATCAAGCCATGCTGTGGCAGGTGTCCCACATATAAAGTAGAGGAAGATGGGCACAGATGTTAGCCCATGGCCAATCTTCCTCAGCAAAAAGAGGAGGATTGGCAACAGATGTTAGCTCAGGGCTAATATTCCTCACCAAAGAAAAAAATCAAGAGATACTAGATGCCTATGTTCCAATACACAGCCCAGACTGGGAACCAAAGAATGAACACACATTTTATGCCAACAGCCCAAATGGAGGTAACATTCCTGCTACGTTCATTCCCTTGGGAATTTTCTTTTTATAATTTAAACACAAGCCACCATAGGGAATGGAGGACCCGGTGCAGCACTTGGAAGAGCTACAAACAAGTCCTCAGACAGGAATGCTGCCTTTTCCTGTCAGTTCAATCCAGTACACACTTTTCTCTAATTCTTGTAGTGTGCTTAAGAGTTTGAAAAGTGTTTTCACATAGGTAACCACATTCAGGGCCTTACACTTCAAAACCATGTGGCGATCAGGAAAGGCTATTTTCAGATGTAACACATTATCAAAATCCAAATGCAACTGAAACATTGGAGAGCAGATTGGATACAGCAGAAATCTTAATGATGAAAACAGTTGTACCAAAACAGATAGATTAACGCAAGAGAAGAAAAGTCTAAACCAGAGAGTTGATAGAAAGAAAGATAGATAAACATTTTAATACCGTATGTAGATTTAGTACCATACAGGATAGAAGCAGCATTTTAAACCAGTGGGGGGAAAAAGGATGGGTGAGTCATACACGTTGTCATTTCAGCAGGCTAACAATTTGGGGGAAAAGAAGATATCTTTCACCAAAATAAATAAGTTATCTTATACTAAAATATATTTTATACATATTAAAGTTTTAATTTTAACATTATAAAAGGAGAAACAAAAATAAAGAGAAATTATTTATATACTCTTTGGGGAAACTCATGACATGGAAAGCCAAATATTTATTCATGTTTTCTTCATGTTTTTGTAACCGCAGGCCCTCCAGGACCAGTTCCACTGACCTCATCTCTTATCAACAGAGTGATTAAGAATTGCCTTTCAGAAAAACTGTAAAGTCACGTAGCCAGGGCATGCGCAAGAGAAGACATCGTGACCTGAAAGGAACTTGGAACCAAAGGTCCTCCTCCCCACGGAACCCAAGGACCAGGACACGACCAGAACTTGAAAGTCGGACTCTTATCAGAAGCGAGGGGTCCCTCATTTAGGGATATCCAGTGTTAAAATTCCATCTCATCATAAACCTTTAGAACCCTATCATAAAAGTTTAGAACCTCATCATAAATGTTTAGAACCCTGTCATAAATGTTTAAAACCTTACCATAAATGCTTGAAGCCCATCAATCAAAACCTGTCCCACCAGTGTTTCTGCATGCCAGCCTGTTCTCCTTAACCTCTTAAATTTCACCCCAAATGCTGAATCAGGGAGACAGATCTGAGGGCACATGCCCCCTGTCTCCCTGCAGATCAATCTCACAGAATAAAAGCTGATTTCTCCTCCCAAAGGCTGATGCCATAATTAATTGGCTTGTTTATGCGCATCGGGCAGAGAACCCCAATTTTGTGCAATAACATTTTGATTTTGAAAAGCAAAGGACCTGGAGGAGAGAGAGACGTCCTGTCAGCATTTTTGTCTTCCTGTCTTCCCTTTCTCTGTCTGCTCCTCTTTCCCTCACTCCTCACAAGGTTAACTAGGGTTGTCTTTGGGTGGTGGCAGTAGGGGTGATTGTTTTCCTTCCTATTTTTCTGTATTCTACGAGGTTTTTTTCCACAATAAACATTTATGTTTGTTGTAACTAGAAGAGAATTTTTTTCAAAAATGCAATCAAGAAAAATTTTTGTATTCAAGAATATTAGATCTAATCGAGCCTTGAAATTACCTGCTCTGACATGATTGTTTGATAAATGAGGAATTTGAGACCCAGAGAGGTTATGTGACTTGCTAAAAACTACCCAGCCATTTAGTGACAGATCCAGGATGACAGAATTTATGGCCAAGCTAGTGTGCCTTCCCTGCAAGATTACATGTTCTCAGGTCTAGCTTTAATGGCCTGTGGCTTAACGTGTAAGGGTACATCGTAATGAAAAGTCCAATCTCCCCTGCTGGGCCTTCCTCAATCACCCCTGCACACGCAGCCCTCTCTGAAAGGCAGCATGTCTCCACTCTCACCCCTGCCAGGCAAGCCTCCCTACAGCTGTTGGAGTGGTGTGTAAGCACACTGATCTGACCTCATCACTCTCCATCTGAAGTCCTCCACTGGCTTCTGTGACTTCATGATGAAGAACAAACTTCTCTCACAGCCAGGCGCCCGCCTCATCTCTCATCACTATGCACCCAGCATCCCACACCCCATCCTTGTGAAAGCGCCTTAGTTCCCCAAATTGGTTGTGTTTTCTCAAACCTCTCTGCCTGTGCACACGCTGTTCCCTCTCCTAGAACAGACTTCTCCTTGAACATTACTCATCTTCCAGGACCTGGTTCCCACCTCCCCTTTCTGGGAGGTCTTCCCTACCCCTCCTGTACTCCTGTGCTCTGCTGAATCAAGACCTGCTTGTCTCTGTCCCCACAGCTCCCTGTGTACCCCGTTTATCAAAGAACAGTTCCATTCCCACATCTGCCACAGGCCTAGCAGAGTGAGGGTGCTCCCTGGCATTAGACATGTGGATGCCTCTGCCTCCAACCCCTAAGCCCCACACCCCCACCCCCTCACACCCTCCCCCTGCCCCCCCTCCTCCCGTACCTCCAGGAACAGGACAGTGTTACTGATGGCCGCAATCCTCTCCAGCTCCTCCTTGCTCTTCTCCATCTCTGCACTCCTGTACTCCAGGTGGGTCTTGATGCCATTGGCCTGGTTCAGAGCAGCTTGCTCCTTCTCCTCCAAGAAGAGCATCACGTCGGCCTGGGCCTTCCTCATGGCAGCAAGGAGTTCCCCAAACTGTTCTTCGACCACCACCTTCACCTCTGACACTGATACCTGGGGCGGGGGTGGGGGTGGGGTAGTGAAGAACCTTTTAGCAAGGTGTCCAACTTTATCAAAGCTCAACACACAAAAATGTAAACCTGAGAAACCTGTAAATTAGGGAGCATTTTTCTATTTTAAAAGCTTTTATTCTCATATGAATCCTGGGTTCCCCAGAAAAAGGATTTGCTCTCCAGGGTGTAAGTATTTATTTACCGATCATTAACTTAGTTTCCTTGTCCATTTGAGGAGAGAGTGAATTTTATGATCTCTGAGACCCCTTCCAGCTCTGACAGTCTGGGGCTGCTATTCAAGTTTCTGAAATTGATTTTCCTACCAGGACAACACATCTATGAATTGTAGCATGAATTAGCTTTCTTAGCCTTTCATTATGTCTAGTTAAACTGCCCACTGAGTCCATCAGAGCCGAAAGTACATCTGAGCTTATGGCGTCTCTACCAGGCATCAAATGTTTCGGGTGCTGTAGGTGAGCTTGGTACCCAAGCAGGGCAGGATGGGCTTACCTGTGCAGAATGGAATACAATGTTCAAATAAAACATAAAACAAAATCCATGCGATCCATATTAAGGATTTGCCTGAAAGCACTTGTATATGTGGACTCTATCCTTTCACAGGGTGAACATCCTTTATAAATGCCTTCAGTCGAGATCATATCTTCAACATCAATCCAAGTTTTAGATGGTTTCTTCTTCTCTTTGGTGGTTCGTAAGTATTGGTGCCGACAGCTCCCTCCGACAGTGTCCAGTTTCATCTCATTGCACAGACACTCATTATGGTGTTAAACTTTATATCGAGGTCTTGGATACAATTTCCTTTGTTCATCCTCCCTTCACCCCCACTGCACAGCCCAGAGCCCACTCTCTGCCTGCCTCACTCCCCCTTGTCCCCCACCCACGCCCATCCCATTGGAGAGCTCTCTGAGCAGCCCCTCCAGGAGCTGTTTTCTGTTCCTCCTGGGTCCTGTTTTCTGTCTGGTCACATTTTTAATTTCATAAAATAGTAATATAGTAACAATCAACATTTAGTAAGTGCTTATTATGTGCCAGGCACTGTTTGGAGCACTTTACACATATTATCTCATAGAAACCCTTAAAAGGTAGCTACTATTATGGGCCCCACTTCTTAGATAAGAAACTGAGGCACTGCTAAATTAAGTGATTTGCCCAAGATCACACAGCAAAGGTTTGAACCCAGACAGTCTGCCTCCAGAGCCCATTCCTTTAACCACCATTCTACAGGGCTGCTCAGCAGGGCTGGGGCAGGGATCCCCGTGGCTGCAGCACAGCAGCCTAGCAGGCACAGGGTGACCTCTCCCTGTGGACACCGGCACACTCATTAGGACAAGCAGGGGAGGCGACTGGGTGGTTCAGTTGAGCTTTCAGCCCACAGGCTGTGGCCCTATGGGAGTTGCAGGGAAGAACCTTTGAGCTCAGCCCTTATACTGAAGCCCTTCCAGGAGCAGAGAAAGGACAGTTAGGCCCTGGTCACCATGGACACTGGTCAAGGGGCACCACCCACACCCATGATGGACTAGATACACGTGCTGCTGAGTACGTGACCAAAAGAGAAAGATGGCAGGTCTTCCCAGCAACTCCCGAGTCAACTGTTGACAAGTATTGCCTCCTTGTCATTGTAATTGCTGTGAATTCTGAGAACATTAATCATAGCTGTATTTAAATCTAAATGTCAAATTACATGTCAATATTGCGAGGCAGTAAAGATTGAGAAATCTCTCAGGAGACAGGTCAGTTTTGCTTATAACTGATTTTGGGGGGAAGTTGTGCTGTTGGTGTTTTAGCCATGTTCTGAGTTAAGTAATATGTTCTAGCTCCCTCACTAACTCACCCTTCCTGCCCACTCCGGCTCCGGGTGGCCAGGCTCCATGAGTCATAGGGGCCACAGGGGGCTCCCTGCCCACTCCTGATCATCTCCAGAAAGCAGGAGCAGGACAAGGCCAGGGAACTAATGTGAGGGTGTCGTGGGAAAGGAGAGGAATCCACTTACTCTCTATAATTATGACATGTAGGTTCCTCACGGAAGCATAATACCATGAGGCTGAGAGGCAAGAGTCTACAGACAAACTGCAGGATCCAAATCCCCCTCCTCCACTGAGGCCTCCTGAGGAAGGCTGGTGGAAAGCAGGCTTCAGATGATGTTGCTGGATTGACTCTTCTGCTTTCATAGGGGGCCTCTCATTCCCAAACCTTCCCATGGAAAAACACTTCTTCGTTGCATGTAAATGAAATGTGTGAAGGATATCCTTTACTGCCCAAATGATGACAAATAAAGACTTCAGAGAGGACAGGCCACAAAGACATCAGTCGCCAAAGTTAATGGTTTAAAGAGGTGGAGGATGGTGCACATGCCTGTCAATGCAACAATCCCAGGTTCTCCTGTTCCATCAAAGTGGGTGCCCCAGACAAGTCTTGTCATCTCTCTGTGTCTTCATGTCCCTTGTATATGGTGGCTATTGTGATGACTACCTTCCCAGTTACCACACAGTTATGAGAAGAACTGAGTAGGGATCAGTGTCTGAAAATTAAAGATCTGGAAAAAGACAAGATGCTCCGTGTGCTTCTCCAGGTTATCTTGAGCCTGGAAATCAACACTCTCTGAAGGTTTATAAGGCTTTCAAGGGACAATTATTTTTCTTCTTTTCATAAGATTATGTGGATACAAAAGAGGTGTGCATCCTTCAGCAGCAAGTTAGTTGTAAATAACAAGGAGGAGGAAATTAAGTTGAAATGGATACAGGTACTAGATATGGATGGATGAGTGGGTAGATGGATGGATGGAATCATTCTTGGTACGTAAAGATGATGCTGCTGACTCACTGCCATAGGGTAGGTGTTTTGCATTGTCTTCTGAGTGGTGGTTTGGCTTGCCACTAATGAGAAGCATTTGTGAAACTGTTTGGGTCTACTTAGAGTTTATGTGGAGAGTGGCCATATACCAGACAGACTAAAACTAAGTAGCTTGGCATACCACTGGTCTTATCAAGTACCATCCACTAATCTCAGCTCTCTTCTCTGGCTGCCAGGACACGGGAATGGTGGGACTCACAAGCAGAACACCCTCTCGGGATGGAAGAAGCCAAGATTATGCATAATTGCTGGAGCTCTAGCTAAACACTCCCTCTACTCCCACACACACCCTTTTCTCCAGGTCAAAGGAGCACATGCAAATGTGAAGATAAGAATGCTGTTATTGCAGGACAAGACTTGCTTCTACTCTGTATTATTAAAAAGTAAATCACTTGCCAGTTTTGAACCTTAAACTAACTTCACCACAAATCTCGACAGCAAGGTGAGGCTACCCCGTGGTGTATCAACCATATGTGTACCTACAATTCTCATTTGCTGAGAAACCCCAAGGAGCCCCTGGACACGGAGGCCAGGCCTGCAGCCCCGTGTCCCACAACCCTGGCTGGGCTCTGGCTGAGCCTGCAGCAGCCAGCTATGCTGAAGCCTCACAGTGACCCAGACCAGCCTTACCAAAACGGATTTATGGTTGGCTTGGAGCCTGGCGATGGCGTTTTCATTCAACTCGAGTTTCCGCTCCAGGTCCAACCGGGTGCCCCGAAGCTCAGCCTAAGAGGAAAGGACAGCGTTAAGGGGGAAGGAGCCCAGTGCACACAGGAGGTCCCCACAATCAACGGCACTATCCGCCCTTCTTCCATGGAAAGGAAGTGTGACCTCAGAAGCTTCTCTCAGAAGCCAACCTAGAGCACCCTAAATGGAGGCGCAAAGGGTCAGCTGTGTGCCAGCCTCCTCCTGGGGCTGAACTCAGCATGAATCAGCTAAAATGTGGTGAGCACATACATGTGCTGTGCTGGTCACCATTTCAAGCATTTACATGGATTACCTCATTTCATCTTGATCACACCCATATTAGGAAAATATCATTCTCTCCATTTTACAGATGATAAAATGGAGCCGCTATCCATGGTCACACAGTTCAATAGATTTGAGCTTACCCCATCCAACCCCAGAATAGACTAACAAGGAGTGCAGGCTTGGCGCTGGTAGTGGGGATCCCAGGTTGTCTACTTAGCAGCTGAGACTTCAGAAAAATCTACTTAACGTCTCCAGACTTCCATTTCTTCACCTGTGAAATGGGGATAACTGAAGTGCCTAATTCATAGGGTTATTGTGAGGGTTGAATGAGACGGCATGTGTTAACAAGAACTTTGTACAGTAGCTGGCACGTTGTGAGTGCTCCATCAGTGTCAGCAATGCCATCATTGTTATTCTTATTATTATTATTGCTACCATGGCTGCTTTCCATCACCTACTCTCACTCTCCTGGAGGCAGGCAGAGTGAACCTACCAGCTGAGGCAAGTGTCGGCCTAAGAACCTCAGGTTTGCCTGGTTTTTTGGTTTTTTTGTGTGTGAGGAAGTCTAGCCCTGAGCTAACATCCATTGCCAATCCTCCTCTTTTTGCTGAGGAAGATTGGCCCTGGGCTAACATCTGTGCCCATCTTCCTCTACTTTGTATGGGTCGCCGCCACAGCATGGCTTGACAAGCGGAGTGTCAGTCCACGCCCAGGATCTGAACCTGTGGACCCCGGGCCGCCGAAGTGGAGTGCGCAAACTTAACCACTACGCCACCAGGCCGGCCCCAGGTTTGCCTGTTTTGACCCCACTGGGCCGCTTCACTCTCACTCCTGGGGCTCCCTAAGCACTTTCTGCCAAGAAGCATGTCAAGGTATAAAACACAAGCCTCAGCAAACTTCAAAGGTCCTGTCACTTTCATGCTTTCACAAGGGCATGAGACAGAAAAAAAAATAGCTTTCACTGCTTTTAATAGGTTATGTCTCTATTTGAAGCTGTGAGTCATTATGCCCTACTAGAACTCAGAGGGCACAAATGCAGTGTCTCTCCTTTGTCCCACGGAAGCTGGGGGGAATGCCGGGCCCCCCAGTGAGGGAAGCCGAGGCAGGCAGGGGACTTGCCTCCATCTGCAGAAGGCAGGTAATGTTTGCTCAGGCTCTGGGGTGCTGACTTGGAGCTGAGGAAGCCCAGGAACCTCCCACTACTGAGACCTGAGACCTGATGCCCAGAAGTGGGGAGGGGGGAGTGGCCGAGGAGTGAGGGTCTGGCCTATTTGGGGGCAATTATGGAATCCAGATCTATCTAAAAGGCTTATACAGTGACCCGTTCCAGGGGAGTGAGGGAAACATGAACCACTTGCTTAAAGGTGGTGGAAGACACAACAGAACACACCCTAGCAACGGGCATGGACACGAGAGAGAATGTGTTAAAGCAGTTGATCCCAGCATGATCCAGAGCCACAGGGAGACGTCCAGTGAGGAGGCTTCTCTCCAAAATCTGCAGATTGCCATAAAAGGAGCAAAGGACTCCTAAGTACCTAATGGGGACCTCTCTGAGTAAGTCACCCCAAGGGAAGACACTCCCGATTACCACAAAAGGTGGGGCCACTTTAGGAGACCAGTATCTCTAGTTATTCCTATTACTAGAAAACGACAGGGTGCCTCAGACTCTGGCTTCAGGATTCCCAAGATGTCATCCATACACACGTCTCAGGCCAGGGTGGGCCCCACACAAAAGCAGGACAGCGGTGTCAACGAGCGCAGACACCCTACGTTGAAGGGCACAGAGAGTCTGGCCTACTTCAGCAGGGTAACGACGAATGTTATGCAATGGGCACAATATTTGGGGTCCGAAGACCTGCCACTTGCTGGCTATGTAATCTTAGCCAAATCATTTAGCGTCTCCTCTGGTGCACGGCCACAAGAGTATGTTAACACAATTGTTCTTTCTTCTATCTACAGGGGAAAGGTGGCACCAGAGCTTGGCGGCCAGGGGTCAGGTTAGAGGTGCAAATAGGAACAGCAGAGGAGTGAGAAGAGAGAAGAAAATTCCAGATGGTGTCAGTTCCTTTGTATTTTCAACCACACAGTGTTGGCCCTTCTAGAGTGTTTGCATGTGGTAGCACCAGGGTTCCACCTGGACTCTGATTTCATTCCTCAGTCAGCTGGTCAGAATCTACTGCACACCAGTCCTGTCAAATAAGATACCCTCCCTGCTGCTGAAAGACGTACAGCCTGGTAGAATGTTTAAGAAAAACAAGCTACATAATACTGAGTCCAAGGCATTCCTCAGAATTTCTAGAAGAAATTCTTTTCCTGAGTGGCCTTGAATCATCTGCCTTTTGGCTGCCAGCAAACGGGCTGTGAACAATGCTGTGAACTGCTCCCCAGAGAAGCAGGAATCCTTGTGGCTCTCAGAAACTAGGATCCTGCTCTACATGGAGATTGTGTCCAGGGGCAGCATCCAGTCCTATACCTTCTGGAACCAATGCTGAGGTTGAGTGCAACGACCTTTCACTAATGGACTTCAAGATCTAAGACAGGGCCCAGCTCAGGTCTTCCCTCCTCCAAGCACTCCGCCCTGACCCTCCCTCCCGGTGACCACTCCCTCCTTGGACCACGCCGCAATTGCATTTCCCGGGCCCTTCGGCACTCCAGGGAGCCACGGAACGTGCCTGGGCTTCCTGATTCGAGTCCACGCTCCCCGAGGATAGACAGTGTAGCCTCACATTTAGCCCACAGCAAGCACTCAATAATGTTTGATAAACTGAGGAAGAACAGGAAAGAACCAGGTACACTTTGTGGGTCAGAGCAAACAGGGAAGCAGTCACAGGAGTGCAAATTTTACAACATGCACATGCATGCACTCACGCACACAGTCTCATTTCCCCGACAGCAAGCCTGAGATTCAGAGAAGGCGAGAGGAGTTAAGACCAGCTGCCCTTCTGCTCTTAAAAGTGAAGGGGCCTCAGGAGGCCGGCCTGGGGCAAAGGGAAGTGCCGAGGTCCTGGCTCTGGAAGCCCAGCAGAGTAGAACAAATAATCAAAGAACACCAGGAACTCCCCAAATCTAAACCGAGTTTTTGCCCACTGGCACAACTAGAGACCCTGAGTGCTTCCAAGAGGGCTCACTTGGTTAACTGAGAAATAAGCCGCTCTGTGGACCAGATGCAGGATCTTGGCTGCTTTGTGTCCTCATGACTGACCCCCATTTGCAGTTTCCTACGCACAACACGCCTGTCTGAGTAATTAGCCCTTAACATGACCCAAAGTGACCTTCAGCAAGTAACTCCAGCAGGCCTGGGCTAGCTGAAGGGAATAGTGGGCTTCTGGAGCCTTAATTATGTCTAATAAAACTCTCAAAATAATCCTAGTGGCCTTTGCAGCTTCTTCAAGGTACCGTGTCTTCTGGACTGGTCTCTTTGGGCTCCTTGCCAGGAATCTTTTTGGCTCCTAAGGTTTGGTGGAGCCACCTGGAGTGTGGCTGGGCTTACAGAGTGAACTTGCTCCCTGAGCTGAAAACAAGGGCACAGGATGGAAAGGACAAAAGCTCTCTTATGCTGACCAGAAAGCAGAGGTTGTGAATTGGGGCCATCACTAAAAATCTGGGGTATGGGGCTGTTACATTATACCTGTAGCCACGATTGCTTTCCAGCACCACAGCCTGCCTGAGAGCCCCGGTCCAGCTGTCCTTATGTCACCTGACACAGCCCCCTCCCAGGATGTCTGACCATGGGCGTCTGCACATGCTCTACACAGCTTTTCTTGCCAGAAATACAATGACCCTAAGTCTCTGCAATGCATCAGTTTACACTACGTTTAAAAAATCGTATCATATCTATGCTGCTACAGGCATAGAACGGTTCTGAAAGGAAATGAAGTAAGTGTAGATGGTGGTGTTTGCCTCTCAGGAGGGAGATGGAGGGATCCAGGATGGGAGGGAGAACTCTTCCTGGTATAATCCATTGTGATATTTGGTGGAGATTGTTTTTCAATATGGCCATGCATGACTTTTCCAGTCAATTATAATAAAATTCAGATATTATTCCCAAAAGGAAAAGCAGTACATTTTGTCAATATCTCTATAATATGTGGCAGGGTTTTGGTGCAAAAAAAAAGTAAGGTTATAATATTGTGATCTTGGGGTCCTTCCCTTGTGTTCCTTCAGTAGAGTAGCTTTCCAGAAGTTTCCATTCCTCACTCCATGACTTAGTCATCTGTATGAGTTTGGACAAATGTGGTGGAGATAAAAAGAGTAGCCACTTTGTAGAGTTATTTGAGGACTAGATGAGAAAATCCACGGCAAGCATTTAGCACATGGCAATGCTCAAGGAAGACTAATGTCCTCAACTGCATGGAGCTTTTTCCTTTGCTCTGTCTATCTGTTGATACAGAGTCTCTTTGTGGTTATGAAAGTAGGGACTTGAGCAGCAGTGGCCTGCTCTCCTGACATTCCCAGGACATTCCCTGATACTGGAAATGCTGCAAACAGTTGGTGAGTGGCTTCTAGAGCTGGAAACGGTGACTCATTGACATCTGGAATACAGAGCTTTCCAGAACAATTCCCACTAACACTGAATAAAATCTATGCCTTAAAAAGGGGGTGGAGGAAGGTCCCCGGCGAGTAAACTGCCCTTCCCAGATACCTCTTTCCTTTGCCGCCCAGGAGCACTGGGCCAAGAATTTGCCGAGGGCCTGCGGCCACGTACAGTGCAAACAAGGAGCTGCCAGGAGGACAAATATCAGGAATGTGGGACAGAAGTCAACTGCACTTCTCTACTGAGAAACAAACAGTGCTCAGGGAAAGTCAAAGTATGAGAAACAAAGCATATAAAGCTGCTAAATCCACTCCCAAGAACTTCTCTAGGCTCTCAGCTTTAGGGCAAAGAAAAGCTGGTTGCTCTAGAAATAGTTTCCCGGGGCCGGCCCCGTGGCTTAGCAGTTAAGTGCGCGCGCTCCACTGCTGGCGGCCTGGGTTCGGATCCTGGGCACGCACCGACGCACCGCTTCTCTGGCCATGCTGAGACCGCGTCCCACATACAGCAACTAGAAGGATGTGCAACTATGACATACAACTACCTACTGGGGCTTTGGGGGAAAAAAAAGGAGGAGGATTGGCAACAGATGTTAGCTCAGAGCCAGTCTTCCTCAGCAAAAAGAGGAGGATTAGCATGGATGTTAGCTCAGGGCTGATCTTCCTCACAAAAAAATAAAAACAAAAACAATAGAAATAATTTCCCTTATCTGATGGAAATAAAATTACAGGCTATGAGCATAGTGTTTCTCAGTCTCTCCTAATACCTCTATCTGATGAGGAACTTTTATTTTCCCTAAGTTAAGCCATCCTTGAGGTCATACCTGTGTGTAAGTTTCCAATTCTACGCTATCTGAGCACTTTCCAAGCTCTTAGATTTCACACTGGGCATCTCTAGAGGAGCACTTTCTACTGATCTTTTGTTTGGGGTAAAGAGAAAAAGAGAAATCAGGGGAAAGGTTTGATTCTTGCCTCTTGCGTTTCTGCTAAGGTTTACATTTCATTAATTGCCACCCAGATCCAGCTAGAGGGAAAAACCACCGCCCTAAGCCCTGCAACTTCTGCCCTCCACAACCAAACTTGTATCAATGCCCGAAAGCTGAGTGAGAAATAGTAGGAAACTAGCAGGCATGAGGAGAGCCAGACACAGGTAGAGGGAGTACAGGGACAGTGGGACCGAGATGGGGACAGAGTGTTCTACTTCAGTGTCCAAAACCAAGTGCAATAGATATTTACGCTGGACCAACAGCCAGGTACTAAGGTTAAACTCTTTTTCAGGTGAACCCAGAGCACTGAAGAGAAGGAGGCAGCCCCAGGAGCAGCGGTGGTGGCCTGGTCTCTCCCTGGGCACGGCATCTCCCCACCTCCCTCTCCCGGATGGACCCCAGCACTCACCTCCTTGTCCCTGCGGGCAGCATCCAGGGAAACCGAGGCATGGCCCCTGTGCTCGCTCTGGCGACACTCCTGGCAGATGCACTGCTGATCACGGTGGCAGAAGGCGACCAGGGGGCTGTGGTGGGCAGGGCAGGTGCGCAGGTCCCGGTCCTTCACCGGCTCAGTCAGCTGGTGGCTGTGCAGTTTGCTGTTCTCCTGGTGCGGCCGCAGGTGCTCCTCGCAGTAATTCACCATGCAGGTCAGGCAAGACTTCACTGCCCTCACCCTGCTGGCCCCGAGGCAGAAGTCACACAGGATCTCCCCCTCCTCCTCACCAGCAGGACCCCTCTGCGATATGGAGCTGCTGCCCTGACCCTCAGTCTCCCCCTGGGGACTCCCCAGGGAGCCCATGTCCTCTTCTTCTGCCGGGCTGGCCGACCCAGAGTCTGGGCTGAGAGTGGCTGGAGAATGAGCGGTGACCTCGGGTAGCGGCCCTGGAGCCACCAGATCCAACTCAGCCATCTGGAAGTCTCTGCCCCTTGGCCCAGGATCTGTGTAGCCTGAGTCAGACAGGAGAACCACGCCTCGATGATTACAGCTGCTGTAAGACTTTAACTGTTTCCTCCCTCCCGGAGGAAGCTCAGTTAGTCATTACTCCGCTCCGGGACTGGTCAGCGGCCAGCTGCTGTGACAAGGCAGCTAGATCACTCAGGCCCTGGACAGCCACTCAGGATGTCTCCTCGTGGGTTCAGGCCCCTCCTTGAGTCCAGCCCCGAAACTTCTACTCTCATGTAAATCATTCATCCCCCATAGGCTCAGCCGGAGACCACGTGTGGCTGTGGCTGCTCTGAAAAGGACTCGAGATTCCTGAGCTCTGTTGTAAAAAGCCTGTGTTGCTTTCCATGGTTTGGCGGGCTAAAACCTTTGTTTACATTTTTGAAGGGATCCAAAATGTAAGGACTTCAGCCATAGGGCAGCCATTCACCCCTTCCCCTCTCATAGAACTGGACAGGAGGCAGCTAGGAACAGGATACATGTCTCTGACTCTGACCTTTTCCATATCACCTTCTTGCACATTCCAGGAGACAGGCTTCAGAGGGGCATTCAGTGTGGATCAGGAGGGTCGGGGAAGAACTTGTCTCCTTCTACATAGAGCTCCATTCAGACAGCCCTCCTGAGCTACACATCCAGCCCTGTGGTTCCTAGAGAGGGGTGTGTGCCGAGCGATAGCCCCTTTGCCCACTGAATAAGGTGTTCCTAGACATGGTGTGTGAGTCTGCTCGGGCTACTGTAACAAAATACCACTGACTGGTTGGTTTAAACAACAGAAATTTATCTTCTCACAATTCTGGAGCCTGGAAGTCCAAGATCAAGGTGTCAGCAGGGTTGGTTTCTTCTGAGGCTTCTCTCCTTGTAGATGGCCACCTTCTCCTTGTGTCTTCACACGGTCTTCCCTCTGTGCATGTCTGTGTCCTCAGTTCTTCTTATAAGGACACCAGTCATATAGGATTAGGGCCCAACCTAGGGACCTCATCTTAACTTAATTACCTCTTTTATTAAAGGCCCTCTCTCCAAATAGAGTCATATTCTGAGGTACTGGGGTTAGGACTTCAGCTATGAATTGAGGTGGGGGGAGGCAGAACTCAACCCATAACACATGGCCAGGGGTCAAGACAGGAAGCATGTAGCTCCTGGGAAGGAAGGAGCTCCTAGGCCTCACCCCTGGATGGGGACACACAGTGTACTTAGTATTTGCCATGTGGGCACCAAAGAACCCAGGATACCTGAAGCCCAGCTTCTGTATCCTGGAGAGGCTCACAGCTTTCCCCCAGGACTTCTTCAGATATACACAAAAGGACTTGGAAAACTAATGGAACAGAGAGAGAATGGGAGCCCAGCTCACCCCTAGGATCGGGGGTTGGGGTGTCTCCAAGACGATGTACTCCCCATGGCTCTCCACCCCTGAGGTGAGTTCTGCAGGATCTGGATTAAACCAGATAAACCAAAGGACGTTTCTTGTTAGTGACCAGGACATTTCAGAAATCCAAGAAATCCAGAGGCTGCTCAGAGTTGGAGGGCATAGAAGACTATAAAACCTATCTCCGATGCAGCCCTCTTTAGTTTCAACCACGCATGGAATATGCATATCACGATTGCCTAAAAGCAGCTCTTTCTAGCAATATAAATTTTCCTAAGCATCCCTGTCCCGACTGCCCTCTTCCACTGCTGAAGACCCTCCAGAAGAGGTTTCCTTATAGTTCACTTCATGGTTTTTTGATCTCCAGCCAGGAGGGAAAGGAGCTGGCTTCTGCCAGCCCAGACCATTCTCAGGCTTTCTCCAATATTAGCGGACAGGGTTGTTTTCCTTTCTGCCCCTTTTGCAGAATGACCTTGTGCTTGAAGCTGAACTAGTCCACCCACATGTTACAGAGCCTTTGTTCTTTCTGGGGAGGGGGAAGGGAAGGTAGTTGCCTGCCTGACTTGTTCCTCAGCCTCAAGTGCCAATTAGAGGGCACAGAGCCAGCCTGGGTTTCCCTGCGACCTCTCATTTATCTCCCTTCTTTCCCTCCGCATCTTTCTCCTTTCATGAATTGTCTCCCTGCCTGCTTCTCTACTGCTAATCCTGTAGAGCGGCTCATGGGCATGCTCAGCCCGTCTCCAGCACCCCTGTTGGAGCCCTGAGCTAGCAGATGGTCCACAGTGACATGGAAAACAGGAAATCTGAATTTTGGTCCCAGCCTGTACTGGGAAAATCATTTGTCCTCTCTTAACCTCAGCTTCCTCATCCATAAAATGAGCAGGTCAGCCTACATGAGGGCTGGCAAATAGATTCCCGGTTTGGCTCTCTGGGGAACTGTGTTGTGTCTAAATTCATGTCTGAGCTTATTGGGAAAGGGTGCCACAGTCAAGCCACGACGTCTGGCATGGGCCTGGGACTGGAGAGTGGAGGCCCACCTCTAGCCTTCTGGGACCACAGAATTCACCAGAACTTCTATATCCCCTCTACTGCCAGGCCTCGAAGCAGAGCCTTCCAGACAACACCGCTAGCCCCGAGCTCCTATCCTACTGCCAGGGACTGCAACCCCTCTCATCACGCCTCAAATCCCCTGGGTCAACGCTTCAGCACCAGAAGATTGGGGCTAATGTCCTGCGTGCCTCGAAACTCAAACTTGCTGTTGAACCAAGTGCTCCACAACCACCACTGCCCCTTTCCTCCCACTGCGCCGTGGGGCATCCCAATACTCTCAGTCTCTTCTTAAACAGCTCCCTCTGCCTCCTGGCCTTAACTGAAACTTGGCTTTCCCCAAACACACTGTTTTTCCCGCGCCTCTCAACTGGTGCTGTTCCTTCTCTCACCCTCTACGTATCTCAGAGCAGAGGTGCGGGGGGAGTCCTCCTCGCCCCCCATCGCAACATCCAGACCGCCACTTGTCAAACCCAGGCCTCTTGTCAAACCTGCTCCCCTGATGCTCATACTGCCCCACACCACCACCCTCTCCTCTCCTCCCGGCTGTCTTCTACCAGCCTCCTGGTCGTGCCTCTTACTCATGGAAGACTGAAGCCCCTGGATCACAGCCTCTCTCTCCATCCCAGCTCTGTCATCATTCTCAGAACCTCCACCTCTGAATGCTTCCTTCACCACCTCATTGCTGAAGACCTTTTCCTCAGCCACCCACCCCATGGTCATATATGAAGTTTTTTTTAATTTGGTAAAATGCACATAACACAAAATTTACCATCTTAACCATTTCTAAGTGTACAATTCAGTGGCACAAGGTACATTCACATTGTTGTGCAACCATCACCACCATCCATCTCTAGAACTCTTTCCATCTTCCCCAACTGAAATTCTGTCCCCATTAAACACCAGTTCCCCTTTCCCCCTCCTCCTAGACCATGGCAACCACCCTTCTACTTTCTGTCTGTATGATTTTGACTATACTAAGTACCTCATTTGAATGGAATCATACAGTATGTATTCGTTTGTGTCTGGCTTATTTCATTCAACATAATGTCCTCAAGTTCCATCCATGTTGTAGTATGTGTCAGAATTCCCTTCTTCACACATGGATTTTCCATTCACCAGAAATCTGTATCTCCTAAATTGTGAATTGATAATCCTATTCTTTATCTATACCTACAGCTCACTTGCTTAAATGCCTTATGGAAAAAAGCACCTCAGGTTCATTAGGCCTCCAATCCACTGCTCCCCACCAGTTCCTCTTTGTCATCTTTCCCCTCCTTCTTCATGTTCTTCTTAGCTTCTTCTAGACTCCATGGTCCCACAACCATTGTTCTCTTGCAGCTGCCCTCAGCTCCCTTGTCTTTTCTACCCTCCATCACACTCTCCTGGCAACCCCAGAACCCTAAATGGCCCCCACTACCCACCTTCCCTAAGCCTGTACCTAAAAGCAAGAACTATTGGAGCAAAATCATCAACCACACAGAGAGGTATGACTATAAATTCAAGATCATTACCATCCACCAGGCCCCCGACATTGCACAGCCATCATACTGGTTTCTCCAGGAAACCCTCTCCTCCCTCCCCAAGGACTGGGTTCCTCACTCCTCAACCCTCTTACTTCTCATCTCCACTCTGTGCAGAGGATCTTGACTCATGCTTTACTGTGAAAAAGAAGTCACCAATTAGGAACTCCCTAATGTTTCCATGACCAGATCTACAAAGGTGCCTGCACCTGTAGCCTCTTCTCCTTCCTTCCTATTTCAATAAAAGCAGTATCCCTAGATCTATTAAAGTCTAGTCTTTCCTCACGTGCACTGGGCTCCCTCCCCACTCTTACCTTATCAGGGGCGCTGCCTCTTCAAGTATACTCCTTCCTGAACCTTTACTCTGTCCCTCTCCACTACATAGCTTCCATCAACATGCAAACACACTTTAGTATCTTCCATCTTTAGAAGAAAGAAAAAGTCTCCTGACCCCACATGCCTGTCCAACTCAGATCTACAAGTCTCAGCTTCAATGTCCCTCCCCAAGGACCACTCACCTTCTCATTCGCCTTGTCATTCCACTTCCCACTGTTTATCCAGCACCTAGCATTTGAGAAATACATATGCTGAGTGAATGACCATGTATGGCTCACCTGCTCCTATAGGCTCCTCTGATATGTATAAGGCCCCTTCTAACTATAAGGTTGTCTTGACATGAGTACAGCCATGTTTGGCCATTCCATTGACCTATAGCCACCAGCACACAAAGAAACATAAAGCTGCTTTCTGTATGGTGGGAACTGGCCTTTCTCCCGGGAACTGGCCCTTCTCCCACGGAGAGAGTTGCAAGTTGTAACATTTCAAGGCTCTTTGGGCATCATAGCATGGGACGAACTGGCCATCTGTGCCAGGCTGGGATGATAACCGGAGAGAACAATGCACGTACACAACTGCTGGGCTGGGATGATAGCCAGGGGGCTCAGTGCACATATGCCACTGATAACCATTTGTGCATGGGAACACTAAATGCTTGCTCTGCAAACTCTGTAACTGCTTACTCTGGAAATTACTGATGCTATAAAAACTGCTGGACACTGAGGCCTGGTGAGAGTCTCACCTGTGGAGGGGACGCCTTGCCCAGGACCTCTGATGATCGGATTCCCCCCCCAAGCCGTGTCAATTGAAGGGACTCTCCCCGGCAGTGGGGTGTGGATGTTGTGAGTAACTGATCTGATGTGTTCTCTTTTTGGTCAACCTGGTGTTTCTCTTTCCGGTTG